TGATGCCTGTTCTCCTCAGACTCTTATACGGACGAACCATTTCGAAGAAGGGTGTTGCTAGTGGTCGTCATGGCCTGCAAGCTACCCGTCTGACCGTCCTGAGAAACCTCAGCGTAGAAGACACCGGAAGCTTTCTGGATATCGCCATTGGTGGTCTCAAGGATGCGCGCGTCATCGACGAGTCCGGCTTCCGTGCCAGCTTGTTTGAGAAGGAGATCCTCCCTGTTCGCAAACAACTTGGTTTCATGAACATGATGCTACCCCTGATCAACGAACTGGGCGCACACGTCGGCCCTTACGCCGAGAAGCTCATTCACCCTGTCATGTACTGTCTCATCTTTGCTTGCCGACGGCTCAGAGAGTCGGCCGCCGAGTCGGACGAAGAGGCTGAAGAACCGAACGATGTCTCGCAAGATTCCATGCTGAAGGTTATCCGCACCACCGGTCTGAAATGCTTGATCACCCTGTTCCGCAATGCGCAGGACTTCAACTGGTCGGCCTACTCGGAGCCCATCGTCAACGAGGTCGTCACTCCGAGAATTGAGAAGCTTCCTGTCGAGACAGCCCAGTCTGTGTCCGGCATTATGCAGCTTCTGTCAACTTGGTCACAGCTGTCTAGAGCCGCACTTTTCATCTCCATCAACGACCAGATCTTGCCAAAGGTCATTGAGTGCTTGTCTGTAGTTAAGGGCAAGGAGAATGTCAAGATCTTCGCCTTGAGCATTGTCCGTAACCTTGTCAAGCTGGCACAGGCTCCTGCTGAGGAGTCCGAGTTCAATGAGCTTATCCGAGCTGAACTCCTGGATGCCAACATGGAATTGACGCTGAAGACCATCATCACCACCCTGGAGACGCAGACAATGGGCAACGAACTGCTCGAGGCTTGCATTGAGACGATCGTGGAGTTGTCTCCGCTTGTCGAGACCTCCGCCAACGTGCATGAGACGCTCAAGATTGCCACCTTCCTTCTCAACCAGCCGCCCAGAAGAGTCAACCCCAGAGCCAAGGGCAAGATTTTGCTCATCCTCGAGCGCTTCATCACCATCCTTGGCTCTGAAGAGGCAGAAGAGAAGACCGCCAACATTGCCATCTTCGAGACTCTGTCTTCCCTCTTCAGTTACTTCAAAGACAGGGACAACAGACAAGCTCTGGCTCGCGTTCTTACTGCCCTTGCCGAGAAGGACAGCACACTTCAGGAGGTTGCCGAAATTTGCAGCGACCTTAACTCTTTCGCCAAGAACCGCATCGACGAGCCAGACTATGACAAGCGACTTGTGGCCTTCACCCGGATCACAAACAAGGAAACCCCCCTCAGTGTTAGGCAGTGGCTCCCTTTGCTACACAACCTGATTTACTACATCCGCTCGGATGAGGAGTATGGTATTCTGGCCTCGAACTCTGCGGACTGTCTGCGCAAGTTCATCAGGGAGGTGGCATCTTGCTCTGACCAGGCTGTCGAGACCGGGTTTGAATCCCATTTGAAGACCATCTTGTTGCCTTCCATCTATACTGGAGCTCGGGAGGAGTCCCCGACTGTCAGGAGAGAATACCTTAGAGTGTTCGGCTACCTTCTATCGCAAATGCCCACGTGGGACCCTGTTGCAGACATGAAGGGGCTCTTGACTGGTGAAGTTGCTGAGGAGACGTCCGAATTGCCCTTCTTCTTCAACATTCTCAGTCCTGCGACCTCCCGACAGCTGGAAGCCATCCGAATGCTCGACAGTGTCAACGATGGCTCAGAAATTGGCAGCCAGAACCTCAGCCAATTCTTTATTCCCCTTCTCGAGCACTTCATCTTTGGTCGCACAGAAGGAAGCGATGACCAGGGCTTGGGTGCTCAAGCAACGATCACGATTGGTAACCTTGCCCAGTCTCTTGATTGGAAGCACTACCGCGTCATCCTGCAGAGATACATCAGCTACGTCGAGTCCAAGCCCGACAACCAGAAGCAGGTAATTCGACTGCTTGCCAAGTTCTGCGATGCTCTCATCTTTGCAGTTGAACAAGCGGCCGCCGAGCCAATGCAGGTAGACGATTCGGAGACAACCTCGCCTTCAGGCAAGAGACTGGTGCTCACCAAACCCCCGCAAGACAAGCTCAGCAAGGACGTCAATAACCTCTTCCTGCCTTCGCTGATCAAGCATCTGCACGAGAAAGACGAGTCAGAGGTCAGTTACCGTGTGCCGGTTGGTGTCATCATCGTCAAGCTTCTCAAGCTTCTGCCGCTCGAAGAGATGGGTCAGAAGCTTGCTGGTGTCCTCACCGACATTTGCCACATTTTGCGCAGCAAGTCTTGGGAGGCCCGCGAGATGGCCAGAGATACCCTCGTCCAGATTGCATCGGTGCTGGGCCCGACTTACTTCGGTTTCATCCTGAAGGAGCTGCGGGGTGCTCTCAAGAGAGGCTACCAGCTTCACGTTATGTCTTACACCCTTCACTCGATGCTTCTCAAGATCATCCCAGAATTCCAGCAGGGTGATCTTGATTACACTCTGCGGTCTATTGTCTCAATCATCATTGACGACATCTTTGGAGTTACCGGCCAAGAAAAGGACGCCGAGGGTTACGTCAGTGAAATGAAGGAGGTCAAGGCAAGCAAGAGTCAGGATTCCATGGAGCTCATTGCCAAGTCAGCCTCCATCAGCCAACTTGTCGTTCTCGTCCACCCTCTGCAGTCCCTGCTCCTGGAAAAGGTCGACCTCAAGCTGGTTCGCAAGATCGACACGCTGTTGGCAAGAATCACCGCTGGTCTCTTGCAGAACCCTGCGTCGGAGAGCCGTGACACTTTGATCTTCTGTTACGAGGTTATCCAAGAGGTCTACAAGAACCAGAAGCCCGAGGTTCAGCCAAAGATTGACTACCGCCTGAAGAAGTATCTATATCAGAAGGGCGTCAAGAAAGACAACCACGGCACCGCCGGCAAGTACACCTTCAAGCTAGTCAAGTTCGCCTTCGACATCCTGCGGTCTGTGTGGAAGAAGTACGACAGTCTGCGCACCGCAACGAACATTGCTGGGTTTGTCCCCATTCTCGGTGACGCCATCCTGAGCGGAGAGGACGATGTCAAGACTGCAGCCTTCAGGCTTCTCACAGTCCTGGTCAAGGTACCTTTCAACAACGACGAAGATGTTCAGCTATACAAGGTTGCGGTCAAGGAGGCGACAAAGAGCATCTCGATGTCAAGCTCAACCACCACCGAGCTTTCGCAGGCTGCTCTGAAGCTTCTCTCGGTTGTGCTGCGCGAGCGCAAGGATATTCCCGTCAAGGACGCAGCGATTGATATGCTGCTCGACAAGCTGAAGGACGATCTAACCGAGACTCTTTACCGCCACGTTACTTTCAACTTCCTCCGCTCTGTGCTTGAGCGCAAGATTGAGACTGCGGTAGTCTACGACACACTCGACTACGTGGGCACTGTCATGATCACCAACGACGATAAGGATACCCGAGACCTGGCTAGAGGGGCCTTCTTCCAGTTCCTCAAGGACTACCCCCAGAGGAAGGCCCGGTGGGTGAAGCAGCTCAACTTTGTAGTCGCCAACTTGACTTACGAGCGCGAGGGCGGCCGTCTCTCTGTCATGGAGGTTGTCCATCTCCTGCTGATGAAGTCCGCGGACGATTTTGTTCAAGAGGTCGTCTCAACTTGCTTCTTGCCTCTTGTCATGGTGCTAGCCAACGATGACAGCGACAAGTGCTGTCTTGCCGCCGGCGAGCTTATCAAAGAAATGTTCCGCCGGGCCGACAAGGAGAGGACGCAGAACTTCATGACTCTCCTTCGCTCATGGCTTGAGCAAGAGGACAACCCTGCGGTGACGAAGCTGTCGCTGCAAGCCTTTGGCCTCTTCTTCGAGGCCAAAGAGCCTTCATCTAAGCATATGAAGGAGTTGGAGCTGGCTCTCGGCAAGATCAGCGAGATTATCGGAACCGGCGACATCCGCGTCGCCGACGAAGACCTCATCAACACTGTACTCCACGGTGTTCAGGTTCTTACGGAGAAGTACCCCGCAAGACTGCTGTCTTCCGAAGCCAGGGAGCTTTGGGGTGATGTCCGTGGCTGCCTGGTTCACCCTGAGAACTCGGTCAAGCTAAGCACCACCAAGGTGCTGAGCACGTTCCTCGCCGACTTCGCAGGCAAATCCAACGAGTCGGGAGAAGCACTAAAGGGTTCGCATGGCCTCGACCTCGAGGTCGAGGACCTCGAGGAGCTTGTCAGACTTACTTTGTACGCCCTGAGAACCCCCGAGATCGACGACGCCCTCGCCGCGGAGATTACCCAGATCCTCATCTTCCTCGGCCCTCGTCTGCCCGTCAAGGTGCAGAGCATACCGGAAGCCGAGACGCTGGGAGACCGCGACGAGACGGCTGCAGAGGAGGACAGAATCGACGAGCACCGCAAGGACCTCCAGTACCTGTTCTGGAAGCTCTCGTCGATCCTGCGCAGGGACGTGCGCCCCAAGTCTACCGCCATCACTCCCAAGACGGTGGCCATGGAGGTGCTGGAGACCATCTGCCGCCGTGTGCCGCAGGAGAATCTCGAGCCATCGTTCAAGACGATACTCTACCCGCTGCAGAACCTCACGGACCCCAATATCCCCGTGCCCTTCTCGACGGACGACCTCTTCAAGACGCGGCTCGACACGCTCAAGACGAGGGCGCAGATCCTAATGGACTCGCTGCAGAAGAAGTTCGGCACCGCCGAGTACACCAAGCAGCTGCTGGCCATCAGGGAGGAGGTGCGCACGCGGAGGCAGCAGAGGTCCAGCAAGCGCAAGATCGAGGCCATCGCGCACCCAGAGAAGTACGGCAGGGACAAGAGGAAGAAGACGGAAAAGAAGAAGGAGAGGAAGAAGGTCAGGAGCCACGAGCACAAGCAGTTCAGACAGGCGTACAAGGGGTGGTAATCATCGAGGATACATGGGCACTGGCGTTTTCGGCTGGGAAAATAAGGATGCGCAGGAATTTAAAAAGGGTGTATTTATATATAGTACAGGGGCTGACATTGCCCGTTCATATGTGGAATCTATATCTATCATTTATTGTTACAATATTTCCTGTCTTTTCGTGACCCAGGATAGTGATGCTGGGGTATCCGGAACGCCGTGATTTTTATATGCAGTCATTTCCCGGCGAACTGAGGCTGTGTTAATCCAATACTTTCCTCCGCCACATTTTACCACAAGTGTTGTACAGCATTTTCAGTCGTGCCCGACGCGCTCAAGCCGGGCCGTCCTTCTTCGCGTCGGCGGCCTCGGCCTCGGCGATGCCCTCGTCAGGGTAGAACTCGATGTCGCCGTCCTCGCCCAGGGTGCCCCGCTTGACGAGGCGCCCCTTCTCGCGCATCAGGTCCTCGACGGTGACCTTGCGGTCGCCAAAGATGCCCAGATGGTCGCTGATGACGTGGCGGTTGCGGCAGGAGGGGCAGGTGATGAGGACGGAGCCGTGGTGGTAGCCCTGCTTGGAGACCTTGTGGCGGGAGCGGGTGTCACAAGGCACGCAGGTGAAGTCGAGCTGGTAGTGCGGCGAAGCCTCAAGGCGCATCTGGGCAGGCGATTTGGCCTCGGCCTCGCGTGCCGCCTTCGGTTTCGGGATGGCGTGGGCAAAACGCGCGGCGACGGTGGGTTGGAGCGGTAAGTGCTGCTGTTGGCGATGGGCTTGGAGGGCTTGCAGGATGGGGCTGCCGCGGTTGAGTGGTGATGCGCCAGGGCGAGCTTGTCGCAGCATGGGCGTGAGCTTTGTGAAGGTTGGACGCGAGGCCATTGTGATGTGTGTGTGAAAGATCTAGTGGTTGAGTGGTGTTACTGAGGTTTGGTCGTCTTTGCGTTGGTGATGGTGTTGGTGTTCGTCAAGGCCTGTTGGTGAAGTTATGTTTGGCTGGTTTGGCCTGCTATCGAATTGGTCTGGAAATGCCGTCATTTTCCACCCCAAAGCTCGGGCAGTCAAGCCTATTGAAGAAAATTAGAAAGTAAAAACAATGGAGCGTACAGCCACATGTGGCGCGCACTCCCAAGCGTACGGGTTCCACTTAACAGGGCTGGTAAGCGAATCAGGGTCTCAAAGTCCTACTGTCGCTGGCTGATCCGTGCGTGGCGAGCCCCGATGATTGGCTCCGATCGCCCCACCCCGATCGCCCCTTCCGCCTTGCGTAATATGCGCGCGGACCATCCCGACCGGGGTCAGCACACCGCAGCGCAGCCTTGCCGTCGTCGGCTCGTCCAGCGGAACTTGACCACTTACATCCCCTCCTTCCTTTGCAATGTCTACTTGTAATATATTCCAGTCCTCCGAACCTTCGCCCTGCCCGTCTTTGGGCGGCCGACCTCTTCCTTGCTAGCCAGCTCGAATGCTCTCAACTTCCCACCTTGTTTCCCCTTCGCTTCTTCCACAATAACAAGGTGTTGCCTTCACTCATCCCGCCACACGCGAAAAGCTACCCCGCCTCCACCGACTCAGTCACTCCCGCGATAGCTTTCTCGACCTGAAACGACCACCCACCACTACCGAATCCCGCAGAGGTTTTCCCCTTCATAGTTCTAAAGATACGCACAGGCAGACGATGATTTCTGGCAGAGGCGGCGGAGGCACGGCCATGCGAGCCGGCCGCATTCGGCCCCCGCGCCGCCCAGGTCGGGTGAGTTATACCCCGAGCATGGACAAATAAGGTGTCGCCTGTCCTGCCATGATGATGGCCCGATATCCCTTTGCTTCTTGTCCTCATACCTTGTCCTCTTCATTCTCCTGGCGGATCACCAATGTGTGAACTCATCTCGGCTCTTCGTCCGATTGCAGGTCGCCGCTGAAGGAGGGTGGAGAGTGGGCTTGGGAGGAAGAACACAAGCCACGGACAGGAGAGAAATTATACAAAAACTGTGTGCTAACTGTCTGAAAGCTCACATCCGGCATCGATACTAGCGACTTCGAGCAGTGTTGGGAGACACTGAAACAGGCCCTCACCGACATCCATAACCAGAACTGCAGCACTCTGTCGTTCGAGCAACTCTACCGAGCGTCTTACAAGATAGTACTTAAGAAGAAGGGCGAGTTGCTTTACGAGCGGGTCAAGCAGTTTGAAGAGCAATACTTTTCCGAGCACGTCATCCCCACCATCGAGCGCCTGGTCACGGCCAACCTCGTAAGCGCCGCTATGGGTGGTGCGGCCACATCGGTCAATGAGCGGCGAAAGATGGGTGAGATATTCCTTGGAGGTGTGAGAAAGTCCTGGGACCACCACAACACCTCCATGAATATGACGGCCGATATTCTCATGTACCTCGATCGGGGCTACACTCAGGACGCCCGCAAGGCGTCCATCTACACGGCCACCATTGGTCTTTTCCGTGACCATATTCTCCGGGCGTCGCTCAACTCGAGTGGACAATACACCGTCTTCGACATACTCAACTCGGTCATTCTCGACCACGTCAACATGGAGCGCGACGGTGATACGATTGACCGCCACCTGCTGCGGAACATTATTCGGATGCTGGATTCTCTCTACGAGTCTGACGAAGAAAACGAGGCCGAGAAGCTGTACCTGACTGTATTTGAGCCCGCATATCTCGAATCCGAGCGTGACTACTACAGGCGCGAATGCGAGCGACTGTTCCGCGACGCCGACGCCGGCGCATGGCTGCGGCACACCCAACGCCGGCTGCAGGAGGAGAACGACCGATGTGACACCACCATCCATTATGAGACGAGAGAGAGGTCCATCAAGGTCGTTGAGGAGGAACTCATCTCGGCACATCTGGACGACTTTTTGAACCTCGAGGGTAGTGGCTTGAAGTCGATGGTCAACTACGATCGCGAGGAGGAACTGTCTATCCTCTACCAGCTGGTATCACGGGTCGATTCAAAGAAGACGTCGCTGAAGAAGATCCTGTCCGCGCGCGTGATTGAGCTCGGCCTCGAGATTGAACAGATGTTGAAGGATACCAACTTCTCAGCCGCCTCAGCACAGGCTGACGGGGAGGAGATTGATGGCGGAGAGAAAACCAAAGCGTTGAGCTCGTCCGCTCAGCAGACGGCTGCGGCGATCAAGTGGGTCGACGACGTCCTCAAGCTCAAAGACAAGTTCGACAACCTGTGGACCAAGTGCTTCCAAGAGGATCTCATTATTCAAACCGCACTCACGAAGAGCTTCTCCGACTTTATCAACATGTTCACCAAGAGTTCCGAATATGTCTCACTGTTCATCGACGACAATCTTCGACGCGGTATCCGAGGCAAAACCGAGACCGAGACCGAGGCAGTGCTGGAGAAGGCCATCACGGTGATCCGCTACCTCTCAGACAAGGACCTCTTTGAGCGGTACTACCAGAAGCACTTGGCGAAGCGTCTGCTCAACAACAAGTCGGAGAGCCACGATGTCGAGAAGTCGATGATTTCGCGGATGAAGCAAGAGCTTGGCAACCAGTTCACCGCCAAGTTCGAGGGCATGTTCAGAGACATGGAATCGTCTGCCGAGTTGACGTCAGGCTACCGGGACCATATCAAGGGCTTGGGCGACATGTCACGCAAACAGATCGATCTCGCTGTCAATATCTTGACGACCAACTCGTGGCCTCCCGAGATCATGGGCCGTACGTCGCAGTTCTCCGAGGGCGGCGGCTGCATCTTCCCCGAAGAGATCAAGCGCCTCCAGGAAAGCCTTCTCAAGTACTACCTTACAAACCGCAGTGGCCGCAAGCTAACTTGGCTTGGGTCGACCGGCAACGCCGATGTCCGCTGTGTTTTCCCCGCCGTTCCTGGTGGAAAGGGACCGCTGGCGCGTGAGCGTAAGTACGAGATTAATGTTCCGACTTACGGCATGGTTGTGCTCTTGCTCTTCAACGAGCTCGGAGAGGGCGAGGAGCTTTCCCTTGAGGAGATTCAGGCCAAGACCAACATACCGCCTCAAGACCTTGCCAGAACCCTTACTTCTCTGGCCATCGTCCCGAAAGCGAGATTGCTGGCCAAGGAGCCCGCCACCAAGTCCATCAAGCCGGGCGACAAGTTCAAATTCAACACGTCTTTCGTCAGCAAGACTGTGCGCATCAAGGCGCCCATCATCAACGCCACCAGCAAGGTCGAGGGCGATGAGGAGAGGAAACAGACGGAGGAGAAGAACAACCAGACCCGAGCCCATATCATTGACGCCGCGCTTGTCAGAATCATGAAGTATGTGCTTCCTTGCCACCCATTGTCCTTGCTATCGTTACTGACCATAGTCTTAGACAACGTAAAGAGCTTGGCCATTCGCAGCTCATCACCGAGGTTATCGATCAACTCAGCAGTCGGTTCAAGCCCGAGATCAGCCTTATCAAGAAGCGGATCGAAGACCTCATCGTGCGCGAGTACCTCGAGCGGGTGGAGGATGCATCAACGCCAACGTATCGCTACCTGGCGTAAGAGCGCCACGTGACACGAAGGATAGATACGATTCTCATGAAACGGGTAGAGGTAGAGGGTGTCATTTAGGGCTGCATCACGGAGGGTTTACGGGATTTCTAACCAGGCACGGCGTTTTCAGGGCGGGTTGACGGAGGAACTACACTTTGACATCTCTATTCGTTTCGAAGAAAAAAAGGGTCATGGTGTCTCGGAGATGGCGGGGAGTATGTACCAAAACATTCAGCATTGCGTCCATCGTATGGTCCGGACGAGCAAAGTCTATGGTGGTCTCTGTCAAGGGACCAAAGGAAAGGCGAGCTCGCGGGCTTACATGGATCTGATTCAGACCTTGCTGACAGGTGGAACCCAAGGCGGTCATGTCAAATACTTGGCTTCTTTCGCATGTATAGAATTCCAGGGGATAATGTCTTTGATGGCTCGCGCCCTTTTGAAGCTGCTCAGGTGTTACGCCCCCCCCCCCCCCCCCCCCCCCCCCCTCCGCCTCTCCGTAAGCAAAGCGTCCTATTTCCGTCGGGGGGAAAAAAAATTCAAACGGGCAGGTAAACGAGACAATGGCATTCCACCGGCTCACTGATACCATTCACGAAAAGTTTTGATGAATTTAGGTTTTGGGGAGGGGCGGCATTGTGCTCTCCGTAGTAATTAGTCAACAACGGCACGCTTTGTACGCCCAGTGCGCATGCACGTACGGCCTTCTCTATTGGATGCCCGCCAACAGGCGGAAGATGCATAAAAGAACTCTCATAATAGTAAAAGGAAAAAAAAAAGGAAATTGGTCTTTCGCAACCTTCCCCCCCTAAAACTCCATACTATAAAGATATAAAAATAAAGAAATCGCACTATAGAGATGATACAATGACGGGCGCCACTCTCTACACCTTCACCTTGGGCTTGGCGATGGGCTTCGCGTCGGCGACCTTGAGCCACTCGCCGTTGAAGGCGTTGATGAGCCAGTTGCTGAGTTCTACAAAGGAAGAAAGCCCATGGTCAGTCAGGGCGTCTCGCGGAAAGAGGGAGGAGGGGTTGGGTGGGAATGGGGAGGAAGACTCACTATCAAAGACAATCCTGTTGGCGCCGTGAAAGTAGATGCCATGGTCGCTGTCGGGGAACAAGTGGACGTCGTAGTTCTCGACGCCGTTGAGGTCGAGCTTGTCGAGGAGGGTGAGGGTGTTCTGGTAGTGGACGTTGTCGTCGCTGACGCCGTGCATCATGAGCCAGCGGACGTTGCCGGCGAGGGCCGAGACGTTGGAGACGGCGGTCTGGTCGTAGCCCGAGGGGTTGAGCTGGGGGGTGCGCATGTAGCGCTCCGTGTAGATGGAGTCGTAGAAGCGCCAGTCGGTGACGGGGGCGACGGCCATGCCGTAGCTGAAGGTGCGGCCGGCGTCCATCTCGAGCGTCTTGAGGGTGTTGAAGCCGCCGTAGCTCCAGCCCCAGATGGCGATGCGCGCCGGGTCGACGTACTTCTTGGCGGCCCAGGCCTGGGCGGCGGCGATCTGGTCGCGGGCCTCCCAGTAGCCGAGGTGCTCGCGGATGAGGACGCGGTTCTTGCGGCCGATGAAGCCCGTGCCGCGGCCGTCGACGGTGACGACGAGGTAGCCGAGCGCCGAGGCGACGTAGGACTGGAAGTCGACGGCGAACTTCTTGTTCACGCTCTGGGACCCGGGGCCGGAGTACTGCTGGAACAGGACCGGGTACTTCTTCTTCTCGTCGAAGTGAGGGGGGCGGCGCTCGACATAGTTGAGCTCGACGCCGTCGACCTTGAGGGTGCCGTACTTGAGGATGGGGAGCTCGTACTTCTTGGCGTTTTCGGCGAGGTCCTCGTTCTTCTCGACGACGTGCTCGTAGCTGACGGGGTTGCTCGGCGTGCTGACGACCTTTTGCCACGGGATCTTGGGGCCCTTGTACGACAGGAGGGCGTAGCCCGCGCCGCTCGAGAAGGAGATGTCGTAGTAGCTCTCGAACTTTGTGTCGGTGAAGGGTTTGAGGTCGGAGCCGTTGAGGTGGACGCTGTACACGTGGCGCTGGATGGAGGACTCCTTTGTCGCCACGAAATAGACGAGGTTGTTCTTCAGATCGACGGCGGAGGGCCCGCCGTCGACCTCCCAGTCGCCGCCGGTGAGATAGACGGGCTCGGCGTTGTCCATCGGCGAGAAGTAGGCGATGTGGTCGCCGTTGCCGTGGACGACGGTGTCGATGTAGCCGTCCTCCGGCCGTCCGTTGGCGGGGTCGGCGGGGATGAACTGGGTGGTGTGCGATATCTCGAACCAGCCGCCGTCGAGCTTGCCCACGTCAATGGTGTTGACGGTCTTGGCGGTGCGGGCAACGACGTCGACGAGCACCACCCGCATGATGTCGCTCACGCGGTTGGTCTCCTTGATCAGGACCTTGTCGTTGGCCCAGAGGACCATGTTGATGAGCCTGTCGTCGTCCGCGAAGCCACCGTCGATATCGACGGAGAAGACGTCGCCGCGCTCGGCATCAAAGAACAGGAGGTCCACAACAGGGTTGTGGCTCCCGGCACGAGGATACTTGATGCGCTTCTCGTCCGGGTACGTCTCTTCGCCAGGAGGCTTCTCCTTGCCCGAGGGCCTCGACAAGAAGTACTGTAGGGGGTACTCTGGGACGCCCGTCTCGTTGGTTCGCAGGAACGCGACGTACTTGCCATCCTCCGAGTACCATGTGGCGCTATTGCCGGCGAAGACTTCCTCCTCGTAGACCCAATCGGGAATGCCGTAGAAGTACTCGGGCCCTCCGTCCTTTGTGATTTGCGTGACCTTCTTGTCACCGTCCAGCTTGCGCAGAAAGAGGTTGTTGTCCCTGGTGAAGACGATGGCGTTGCTCTGAGGGCTCCAAGTCGCAAGCTGCACGCGGCCGTCGGGGTGCTCGGGATCGAGAGCTTCGACCGTCTGGGTTTCCACGTCAAAGATCCAGTACAGTGCGGTGAAGGAGAAGCGCCAGTTGCGCTGGCTGTCGGTCGAGACGAGCACCTTCTTCATGTCCTTGCTCGGGCGGGCATCGGAGGGCACCAATTGCCGGCCACCGACATTGATCCACGGATTCTTCATCAGGGTACGGCTCTGGACGACGTCAGCCGAGACCTGGCTGTCCTTGTTGCCGGATCTCACGTCCTCCACAGCGAGGTAGCCCTTGCCCTGGGCGCCCTTCTCAAGCAGCAAGCCGTCCTCCCCGTTGGGCCCCTCGATCCAGCTGATGGAGTGAGACGTCGGGTACCAGAAACCGGACATGACCTGATCTAGCGTCACTGGCTTCCCGGAGCCGCGCGAGGTCGCCGACGGGTCGTGGTCGATGGTGCTGGCGTGCTTATACGACTTGTTGGACAGGAAGACGAAGAGGGCGGCTCCCCATGCCAAGAGGAAGGCGGCGGCGAGTATCAGTATCACCTTCTTCAGCCCGCGATCGACACCCACGCGGCGCATCATAACGCTGGCGGGCGCGAGGAAGGGCCCCGTCTCGAGGTCATTCGTGTCGGCCTCCTTGTACCTTTCCTCGTCGTCGTCGTCGTCGTAGGGGTGATCGGCGTAGCCGCCACGGGAGGCGGACGGGGCGCGGCGGCGCTGGGAAGAAGAGTGGTAGCTCTTCTCATTATGCTCGTGCAAGCGGTCGAAGACGAGACTGGTGGTGGAAACGGTCGAGAGAGACGATTCTTGGGACATCCTGGGTTCCTCGGCGGTCGGCTGTCGAGAGGCGGTGGCTGGAGCGTCCATCGCGAAGGGGAGGGCGGACTGATATGCAGTCCGGACTGTAGTCGGATTTCTTTTTTAGAGGGGGGATGGTTTGGTGGGCGAATGTAACTATCGAACCAAAGATGGAGAGATAGTAATCGGGACTAGGTTGGCTGCGCAACGATTTGAAACGGCATGCTGTCTCGAGGGTGGCTTCCGTCCTCTTTCGGACATGGGAGGGCACGATGGCGACTCCTCATGGACCGGAGCACGGTCACGCGATGGTCGGGGTCTTTCTTGTAGACCGGGGGTGGAGGAAACGGCGGATACGGACAACAGCAACGGCCCTAGAAGAGGAAGGGGGTGGTCGAGAAGGTCGGAAGAGTTGCGATTGATGATACGGCGAGAGTCGAGGACGGGCGAAGGAGTCGGGAGACTTGAGGTTGCTTGCTTAGCGCTGTCAGGGGAGCTGGCAGAAAGTGACCTGAACCACGTATGCCATTCGCTGTAGCCTATAGGTACCTTTTTGGGGGGGGGGGGGTTCAGGGATGCGGAGTGCGGCAGAAGTAGGTAGTAGGCTTGGCCCGTTTCAATCGTTTGTCACATTCCTCCCAGTCGGGTTGGTAGCCGACGTCTTGGGAACGAACCGACTGCATCTTCCCCGCCCCCATCTCGTCTTATCATGGTGGTTCCTTGGGTATTACTGATAAAATAGAAAGATGTCCCCGGCTTGTGGTGTACCTCATTCCGAACCATCATGATCTCCCCATCACGACCTTTCTGCAGATGCCGACCGCAAAGAAGCCATGTTCTTCCTGGTCGATCCGGTGCTGTACATTGACTCGTCGGTTCTTGGCTTGATCCGAGTCAATGACACAGATCAGTCGAGGGGAGGGGGTGGAAACAAGATTAAGAGATGCAGGTTGACTGACTCTCTAGCCTGCTTTGCAAGAGGAGACGCATCGCAACTCCAAAGGCTCTGCGCATTCTATATTAACCGTCGCTCTGCATACACCCTGGTTTGCCAAGCACCAAAAACACCAAAAACAGCTCTAACAGTGGTATCGAATCCCCCTTCCCTCTTGGCGCCACCTAGACAGCCAGCTGAGGCGCGACGGCGACGTCGTCGTCAACCTTCTCGACGACGCAAGCCGTCCCGTAGGCGCACGTCTGCGCGAACCCGCCCAGGTCCGCCGCGTCGAAGCGCAGGCAGACGACGGCGTTGCCGCCGCGCTGCTTGCACTCGCCGACCAGCCGGCCCAGCGCGTCGTTGCGGCAGTTGTACAGCATCGTCGTGAACCACTGCAGCTCGCCGCCCGCCAGCGACTTGATCACCATGCCGAGGCTGGCCGCGATGTTGCGCGACCGCACCGAGAGCCCGTACACGGCGCCCAGGGTGCGCACCACGCGGTACCCGGGGATGTCGAACATTGCTTGGGGGTTTTAGTCGCCATCAATCTCCTGCTTGCGCGCGGGGCCGCCGGTCTCGGTGAAGCAGTGCAGGTCGGAGAGCTCGGGCGGGACGTTGGCCACGTCCTCAGACCTGGCTTCGCTCCTCCTGTTCATGAAGCTCACGGTGCGAGTTTGCAGGATTGGTCTTTGGTGTAAAGTTCCCTCAACGTAGATATTTGGGTCCAAAGTTTGCCGAAGGGGCGAGAGCTTCCTGTGCAAGTTTGTAATAAGATGCCGGTCTGAGATGGTATGCCACGGCTCCAGGAAATAAACCAAGGTCATGACCAGTCCTTATATGCAAATCTCCCAGATCACGGTAACCCGGCTGCTTTTCAAGCCTCACCACCCGTCCTCGAGACATTGAGGCCAGAAACGGCATCGACGGGAGCAAACCGGCAGTTCGCCCGGCCCCACACGGCGCACCCCCTCCGAGGTCGCCATTGGCCGCTTGGGTCGGGCTGCGTCGGCGGAACCGCGTATTTCGTATCTGCATCGAAGGAAGAGACACGCGACGGGCCCGGGCGTAGGTCGACTAGCTACTAGACCCGGCGCTGCCTTGGTGGCGCATCATCTGCATGTTCCCGGGTGGTGCGTTGGGGCCTTTCTACCCGGCGTCACGGCTTAGGCAATTTGGGGGACACTACTAGCCGACGACTGTTTCCCTTTGACATCTCCTCAGTCCTTCGTGTCCATGACTACCCAGAGAGCCTACTTCCTCGTCTTCAGCTGTGGGCTTTCTCGTTGACGATGGCACAGCCTATAGACTCACCTCAATTCATCTAGTGTAGTCTCCGTAACTGACCTCCCATGACATGACACCGGAGCGGCGCCAACGTGGAGCCTTCCGATCGGGACACCATCTACGTGATACGGGTAGCCTCTAAGTCGCCTAGGCATGTTCTGCACCACCTCGGCACGTCGGGACACGGCGATATTAGCCGTGCACTATTTACGATGTCAACCTCTCCAGCGAGAGCTCCAACAGACCTCACTTTCCTTGGACATAACTATACTAGGATACTGCTACCTTGGAAGGGGGCACATCTTCCCCGATTCGTCCGTGAGCGGCGCAGGCAGGCAACGCAGTCGAGGCCGTGGAGATGGAGGGGGGAGGCACCTTGCTTGGGTCAGATACCATCCAATCCCGAAGTCGAACTTTCTCGGAGCGTAGCCGCCGTTGCAGATCGAGCCAACGCCCTTCTTTCCCGGATGAGGACCTACGACACTGAAAATCGCCAACGTGAACGGTGACGGTGACGAGTAGATATAATAAACATGACGCCATTCAATCTACCTAGCATGAAGCCTCCCCGCTCTCTGAGTAAAGAATCCCAACATGTTCTCCCGCGCCACCCTCCTGCTCCTCCTCCTCACCCCGGCCACCCTCGCCGCGGCCACCCCGAACTGCCACGCGGCGGCCGTCCGGTGCCCCGTCGTCTTCGACGGCCGCGTCCCCGCCGCCGCGACCCCGCGGGACTTCGACACGGCCTCAGGCGGCGGCTGGAACCCCTACAACCCGGGCTACGTCAAGGGCGAGGGCCTGCTGTGGTCCGACATCGTTCTGCTGCCGCTGCCGTCCCCCAGGAGGCCGTACCCTCGTCGCGCTTCGACGCCGGCGGGGGCACGCGCCCACTCGAGGTGACAGTCTCGGACAGGAGCATCTTCATGGGTCAGCGCGGCTTCCGGCGCGCCGGCCTGCAGTTCGCGGCGGACGCCAACGTCGGCAGCCCCGCCGCCGCGGGGGTCAAGACGCTGCATTTCAGTGTGCGGCAGGACGCGGCGCGGCCGCTGAACCTGACGCACGAGTATCTCGTAGGTCCAACGGTCCCTTTGTATATATGCGTGTGTATAAATCCAGGCTTCGTAGGCCAGGATCGTGGGGAAAGGGGGCTTGTGAGTGGTTCATCTTTCTAATCCACTCATCTTTTCTCCTTACAGAACGTCTGGCATGAGACGGCGGCATACGACGCGAACCAGTTCAATTTCCAGACGGGCACCCTCATCGGCCGGGAGGGGCTGCTGCCGAAAGACACCTTCAAGCTGTTGGACCGGGACAACAAGCTCCTCTGGTCGACGCCCGTGGCGACGGACGGCTCGTGGCAGAACTTTGCCCTGACGTTGGACTTTTCCAAAAAGTCAGTCCTTTCCTTTCCCCTTTTGGTCTTTGCGTCTGCTGCTTTGCAAGAAAAAGAAAAGCCCTCGGACTAAATAAATTGCCCGCAGTACCATCCAAGTCTGGTACTCCGCCGGCGGCGCCCGGCTCGCCAGTCAGGGCGGCGCCATCCCGGCCAACCTCGCCGGGGACGGGCAATACCAGATCGGCATCTTGAAGAAACCGACGGGCACCAGCGATGTGGTAAACTCGGGGTATCAGTCGAGCAACTTGGACGAGGGCCAGATCTACGGAGGCATCTTCATTGAAGACAGCGCCGACGGGTGCGTGTCAATTTAAGCCTTGAGAGTCGCGGGGATGGGGCTCGTTCGCAAGTCTATCATGTTCTATATGATGTTATATGTGTGATGTTCTCTATCCATGTCAAACTTGTCAAGTCTACGTTGATCATTAACGGACTCCTCCAAGCACCTCCGTCAGGGTTGAGCTGTAGCGAGTGTGCATGCACCTCACTTGTTCACGTCGACGGCCGTGAAACTCGCTCTCAAAGGCGCAACGCTGATGACGCCATTGAGCGACGCCCACAAGTCCTCGCCCTCGGGACTCTCGTCCGCCTGGCGCTTGATATCGGCCAGCTGCGGCGCCCACCGGAACTGGTAAGTGCGCGAGACGGCTAGCTTCTCAGGATCGGCGGGCGCAGGGCTGAACAGCCCCCCCGTGACCCACCGGCCGTGTGCCGTAGTCGTCAGTCTCACCGGCCGGTCTGCGATGTCGGCGACCATGGGGAGGTTGACGCTGTACACCTCCACGTCCGGATGCCAGTCGCGTGCAAGGTCTTGGATGAGGGCGACGGCGCGGCCACACGCCGCCTGGATGACTTCATCAGGCTGCACCTCCTTGCTGCCGAAGCTAAGGGCTACAGCCCTCCTCCCGCATTGCGCAGCCTCCATGGCGCCGCCAACGGTGCCGCTGCTCAAGGCGTAAACGGTGCTCGCGTTGCGGCCGTGGTTGGGCCCCGACACGACCAGGTCAAAGTCGTCAGGCTTGAAGCCCGTGTGGAACAGGCCTATCTGAGTGCAGCTGGCGGGGAGGCCGTCGACGACGAGCCAGCGGTGGGTACGGTCCTCAGTCTCGTCGCAGCCGGGGACGGTGCATGTCTCGTTGGCAAAGGACGCTGGGCATCTGCTTGCGGCGGTCAAGGTCTTGCCGACTGCATGGGCCTTTCCGATCCAAGACAGCGGACGGTCAGGAATGACAACGACTGTTGTGTGGCCAGCCTTGTGCAAGGCGTCGACCCAGGGAGCGAAGTAGGGCGAGACGGAGGACGGGGGGCCGTCATCGTTGACTAGCTACGGGCAAGGCGCATCAGTAACGGTGTTGCACTGCGTCATGATGCGCCGTCGGGAGAGGGCGCGGCGGGAGGTAAAGGCATTTACCAAGAGCCGCATTCTTCGGGAGTCGGCGAGGTCCTGGTGGGAGAGAGAATGGTCCCTTGTCGAAGATCAGGCAGCAGCGCCAAGATGTCTCTCCAGTCCGGATTCCGCCCCGAGTGGCTAGCTCGAGCCGCAGCAGAGACAAGGAACAAAGAGTTCGAGAAGGCGGCCGAAGGAAAGAAGAAGGTAAAAAAGAAAAGAAAAGAGAAATCAGGCTGGCGGTTGAGGCCCGGCGGACGGAGATGGGCGGGTGGTGTGGTGTAGACGTGAGTTTCCGAGACAGATTGTAGCTGGGCGAAGTATTATACGCTCGGTCACTCGAAGAGGATAAGGAAGCTAAGTGCAAAGAAGGAGGAGCCGGGTTAGTATTGTCCGATAGGTAACTTGGCTCCGACGTCGTCGTCGTTGTAGGAGTGTGTGTTTGCTCTCCGTGTGGCGGTGTTGACTTTGTCCGAGGAACAGACAGTGTGAATCACATCGTTGCGTTGTGTCCTCTCGTGGACCCGCCGACAACGGCAGGGTCGAATCGGATGGAGCCGCAAACAGGATCAAGGCGAAATGTGCAGAAAAGGGCAACTCGAGATGGAATAATGCCTCAGTTCGTATCGTGGACCATACAAGCAAGGTCTAGGGAAGTTGAGACGAGGCATCCGTGACGGCGGTGCGCCTTGCGGTTTGCCCATGCATATGGATGGCTTCAGGCAGGCTTTGGGCAGCCGACATGCGCTCGCCCCGTCATGGCTTGCTGACAAAATGATGTACATTGGAGCGCCGTCAACGGAGGGGGGACACAACAGGAGAAGAATGAGGATGATGATGAGTGAGGATGAGAAGTAGACAAGAGAGCGAGCTCTGTATTCGGGGTGCGAGGGGGGTGCGCCGAGGAATGAGGGAAGCCGTCGACTAGCTTGTCGCCCCTATATCGGAGCTCATCCCCCTCTGTAACTCACCGAGACGCACTGGTCTCCCGCCCGTAGTTGGCTCCAATAGGTGTGCACCAAGACCCCCCGGGCAAAAAGCACCGCGCAGCATCCGTCACTCACTCGCCCTCGTCGTCGTGCCTTGATCTCGCATGCCTCACATGCCATTTGCTCCTAGACGCTTTCTCTCTCCCCCCCCCCCCCCCCCCCTTCCCTCCTCCCACCAAACAAGGCTTCCGTCTTGCACACATAAGATGCTGATTCCCTTTCTTTTGCGCCCCTCGCGGCTACACACCTTCTTGCCACCTTTCCGGAAAACTCTATAAACACAGCCTCCGTATTATCCAATTCCATAAGCCACAAGTCACCGTGATACTAACATTGTGTGGGCATGACACACTCTTTCAACACAAACACCAACGCCAACAGCCCATTCTCATGGGCCGCTCAACCATCTGACGACCCTTTCGGCCAGCCATGGCCGCCGAACGGCGACCCGTCTGCTCGGTCCATTGGACGCGCCCGCCTCCTCAGCACCGACGCCCCGCGGAACGATGCCTCCCTCATCCAGTGAGTTCCACCTACCAAGACCCAGCCTTGGAAACCCCAACATACACACACACACGCGCACACACAAACACACTAACACGCCCGCCAGGGACTTCAATGACGAACTTCCAGACCCTGGCGCCCACGACAACTCTTCCACTCACTCGTCCTGGCTGTCGGTCAATGGAGCGCTGGCCGGTCCCACCGATCTACCCTTCGACCTTGCCATTGATAACGACATCGATCTTGATGCTGCCAAACCAGTCTCATACGATATTGCTGCGACGAGCAGTCAAGCAAGCTCCACAGAAATCGACGATGAGTCTATCGTCATCAGCGTCCCCGAGGATTTGTATGATGTTGGCTTTAGTGCCAGCTACGGTGACACCTTCCTGACCGACATCAACAGCCCAGGCACAAGCTTCTCTGATGCCAACCCGTCGACGAATCCCTCCCTGGAGAACAGTCCCGTTTCTCCACGCTGCCCGTATCTCAGCAGCCAGGTAGAGAATTTCCGGGCCGCTGCCTCCTCATGGAACGCAATGAGGGCCTCCCAGTCATCCATCACCAACGCCAACAGCAATCTTCAAGGCATTGGCTCTGCAAGTACGCCGACAAGCCTCCCGAGTCACAATCCTAGCACCTTGTCGACGGGACTGGCAGACCAGAGTCTATACCATGCTAGTGGTAACAGTCCCTCCTCGGAATACTTTAACCAGTGGAGTTTGCGCGCCGGCGACGATGCGATGGGATCCTTCGACGCCGCCATGTCGGACGATCCGCCCCTCTCGGAAGCCTTCTTTTCAGACGTCTCGAGCCAGCTGGGTCCCTCTTTCGTCATCGACCCCCCTGAGAACCCTGATGTGACGATGGGCGATACCAACGACTTCACAGCGTCTGAGTTCCTCATGGCCTCCGAAACACATCCCATTGACTACTATCTCTCGGCGACTTACGCCGCCCCCCAACTGACGGAGCCCCGAAGCGTACCGATGCCGCAAGCTTCTGCAGCCAATGCCGTGGACCGCCTCTTGGTCCCCTCGCGTCGACCTCGCCGAAAGTCAGACCCTGGCCGTATGAATCCTCACATGAGACCACATGCATCGACTCCTTGGCTTCAACCAACCATGAGCAGTGCAAATGTATCGCCCCGAGTGAGTCCTACTCAGAACTCCAGGGCCCGCTTTCCCTCCGCCGCAGAGAGCCCTCGGTTCCAGCGGATGCGTTCGACGGACCCAGCGAGGGTCTCGGGCGTTGTTTTACCTATGACCATCGCCTCTCGGCCCAGAAGGTTGGCCGATCCCGGCCAACCCGCCGATGGCCAGGCCGTAATGCCTCGGCCGAGCCGACCAGGCCCCGCGCGTGGACGTCGACAGGGGCCGATGGACCCGGTCTCCCGTGGTCAGGCCAAGGAAACACGAAACAGGAAGATGGTGTGCATTCGATGCAAACATTCCAAGCAGAAGGTATGCCATGTCACTTGGATGCGAATGGGCATAATTGCTAATCCACATCCAGTGCAAGCGAGACGACGACTCTCTCGACGGATCTTGTATCGGTTGCGAAAAGCATGGCGGTTCTCCGAGGTGGCCGGGGCCATGCATCAAAGCTCATTTTGAGGATCTTATCCTCGCCGGCTCGTGTAACTACATCTGTAAGTCGTGTAATCCGTTTCGCTTCCGTGTCAAGATGTACTAACTCTGTTCCAGCTTCGCATGCCATCCACCACCCGACACTCGGTCACATCACACGCATTCGTCGGGAGCTTCCCAGACAGATCGATCTCAACGTACTTCTGGCCGGGCTGGACCAGGCGCGCCAGAAGTTCAACGTCAAGGTTTACCAAGACGGACGGCCGCTTTACGTCCTCGACCTCGACTGTTGCCATAAATATATCCAAGGTCTCCGACAACAGATGGATGCCGGCGAGTATGATTTTGCGACTTTCATTGACAGAGACATTCTGCGAACAGACCCGAAGAACGACGACTGGGAACGGTGCATGACGCAAACGGCGACACCGTGGGGTGATTGGCTTTCTTTGCTTTCCAAAGTCAACAACATGCCCAGCCGTGCCAGCTTCTCCTACGTATCCAAACCTTACTACCCTACACCGGCGGGGGCGGTGGGCGAGCAGCCCATGAACGTCGAGGATCCAGACGAAGCAGACAACATTATACTCGCAGCGCAGCTCGCACGGATCATGTGCCGCAAACTCGAGGTCAAGGCTTACCAGCACCTCCAGCGCCTCCTGCATGAGTCGGGGACAATGGAGAACGGCAGGGTGTTACCGTTCCTGCAGAGCCTGGGCCGTATCCTCTTGACACTACGGTGGCGGCTATCGTGGTGGGCCGCGGTCCCCGAAGTCGTCGGCACGAGCGACGACGAGGGCGACGGCAATGACACGGCCAACCGGCAACGCGTCGAGCAGCGGGTCCAGTCCTTGTGTCGAGTGCTGTACTTCTACTACTGCTGCGTCCGCAGACGGCTCCCGGTATGGACCAACATCAGGACGCTGAGCGGCATCCGCTCAAGGTATCCGGACACGCAGAGGGAGGTCTGGGACGACTTCCCCGGCGATGAAAGCCTGGAAGGGTTCGCAGCATGGATGGAACGGGGCAGAGGGCTTATCGTCGAGGCCGGGGTCGGGAATCAACCCCAACCCAGGTCAATAGGACTCGTGGCATAAACCTTTCGATGCCCCCGCTTACTGGGGCGGGCAACAGCACACCCGCTGGCTGTGGATGTAAAGCAGGGCGTCATGTTGGCTGTTTTTTTTCTTTTCTTTTTTTGGTGTGTACGGGATACCATACACCTTGGAAACCAACGCCATTGTTAGATATCAGCCCGGGCGTCCTTCGTTTCTAGTCAACACATGACGTGCGAGCAACACGTTGTTTTGTCATGGCCCTGTTCTTACTTGGTGAAATCCACATGAGATGACAATGGTGAATCAGACCAGAGTGGAAGTAAGGCACCAAGCACGGCCTGATACATGGCGGGTACCGAACGAAGTCCCACACTATTCCAGGACACGTCGCCTCCGGTTTTGTCAAGCTCGGGTGGGAATCGGACCCATCTGGGTAACCTGCATCAGGCTCGACTGCTTTCCTAGAACCAGAGATAATGATACACAACCTTTCTCTATGTAGGTATCTCGGGCTCTAAGAAACGGAATCATGGACACCCCTCGTATCCCCACCAGACCGCAACTGATCAACTACGAATCCGCCCCGAAGCCGTCTAGCGCGGCGCATGTATAATGCAATATGAATATGGTATTTTGTATTAATCCTGTATGTGCATTCATGTGCATTAACCCCAGGGCTCAAGCCGCCAAGTCTTCCGAACTAGCTTCACGAGAACATGAGACGACCTGATAGAATGGGGGGGAGAGGGACCCTGTGAAACCCTGCCCAGAGCCCGTCCTGGATTCAAACACATCATATCCACCACCTCCCCCCCCGGCGCCAGTCATCCCCATTTTTGTCTGACTGTCTTCGAACAGGATCCCAATCTCGTCATATTTTCTCACCTCCGAGCTGCGAGCCAGCGTGCTTTCCAGGCAAGTCAATCTGCAGAAAAGAGACAAAACATGGAACAGATATGAGCAAAACCAGCGGTGAAAGGCCGGATACAACGAGAAGAGGTGGAAGAGAAGGACTTGTCCCGGCTCGATTGGCCGAACCACGGAACCCACCCCGGCTGGATGGGGAACCTCCTGCCTGTCCGTCGGCCCAAGAGTCCAGTCCAGACCAGACCGGACCTGGTGTCCCAAGAGTCTCTCTCTGTCCTGCAAGGAGTCGACAGATTTTCCCACATGCCGCCCGCTCCCCGTCCACTCAGCATTAGGACAGACTTGGGCGTGCAGCGGACTGGGGCGGGGGTGCGGGGGGTCGTAAAACCTCCCATTTGCCCAACCGTGGACGATTGCTTGCATGCATGCATGCGCATTTAAAAAATAAAAAAAAAAGCCTTGCTTGCATCCTCATTTTTCCTGTTCGCGCGCCAAGATTCGAAACAGAAAAAAAAAAAAAAAAATGCAGTCCTGTGAAGAAAATGGGAACCCCAATTGAATAAAGATAAGACCACCTAAGGCTCCGGAGCTCTCAAATATATAAAAAGAAGAACAAGAACAAAAAGGGAGTCGGTCCACGATCAGCTCTTGCAAAAAGCGACTTGGGAATTCCATTCCTCATCCCCCTCCCCTCTCCCCCGTTGTCTCGCCCATCCCACCAGTTCGTGATCTTCGCTTCCCTTTTCCCGCTTCATTGGGCTTGGCTTCAATTAAAGCCCATGTCGTTATAGTCATAGCTCGCCAACCCCGGACGCACCCCCCCCCCCCCCCCCCCTTCGCCAATCATCCTCCTACGCCTCTACACTATATCTCGTGCCCGTTGTTGGTCGCGCGCCACGCTGAAAGAAAAGAAGCAAAGCCCGCTACGAAGCTAGGAAGACTCGCGAACATCCTCCTCTTCGCCTCCCCCTCCTCCCCCTCCCCTAGGGTCGCATTCTCCAGCCTCGCATATCGCACGCCGCACACAAGGGTTTGCCGAGTCTCTCCCTTTGTGCGTGTGTGTGTGGGTTTTCTCCTTCCCACCTGCGTCTCACCACTCATTTCCCTCTTTCTCACCTTCCACATTTCCTTCCCTTCTCTCAATCGCACACATACTTTTCAACGTCCCCATCCCTTCCTCCACCTCCTCCGCAACCCATCAACCACGACAAGCCCAATCCCGGCTCGTCTCTTCTCCTCCCCCCCCCACCCCTCTACATCCTCCTTGTCTCGCAAAGACGGGAGGAACACCACCTCCGGGGGAGTAATAAAGAAAACAAGAAGAAGATCACCATGGGATTTTTCAACTTCGACACGGGGAGCGTCCTCTCCGCCCGCTCCTCCCACTCGCGCCGCGTCTCCAAGAAGCACCACAGCAGCAGCAGCAACAAGCACCGCTCCCGCTCTCGCTCCTCGTCGCGCTCCCGCAAGCGCCACCACGGCAGCAACAGCAGCCCCGGCATCGCCGCCTCCATCTTCGGCGCCGGCACCGCCGACAGCCACAAGCACAACTCGTCGCGCTCCTCCTTCTTCGGCATCCCCAATGCCTCGCGCTCTTCCTTCTTCGGCCTCGGAGGTTAGTTCTCTCTCTCTCTCTCTCTCGTCATCTCACCCTTCCTCTTCCCTTGATGCCGTGACACTCTATCACCGTGCTACACAGGCGAGACGGAGAAAAGAAAGAAAAAAAAAACCCCCCCGTCCCGAGACATGCCAAACTAACGCTTTTGTTACCACTCGATTCCCAGGCCGTCCCTCGTACTACAAGCGCTCTCCCCGCAGCGGCTTCGTCCAGAAGACGCTCAAGCAGGTCAAGCGCCTCTGGCGCGACCTCGTCTACTACGCCAAGAAGCACCCCTACAAGGTCTTCGCCCTCGTCATCATGCCCCTCATCACCGGCGGCTTCCTTACCGCTCTGCTCGCCCGCTTCGGCCTGCGCCTGCCCCCCGGCATCGAGCGCATGATCGGCATCGGCGCCAAGGCCGCCTCGGGCGACTCCCTCGGCCTCGTCGGCGAGGCCGTCCGCATGGCCAGCGGCGGCGGCGGGCTCAGCGGCGGGTTCCGTGGCGCCGGCGGCGGCGCCGGCAGCAGTCGCGCCCATGTCGAGCGCGGCTACGACGGGGACTACGCGTGGGAGAGGAGGAGCGTAGAGCGCGATAGCGGCGGCGGCGGCGGCGGCTGGACTGACGGCCTCATGAACGGCGTCGCCAAGATGTTCATCTGAAGCTGCGGTCCCCCCGCACGGGTCCCTCTTTTTTGCCATGCATCATGATTCCAATGGGTTGGGCGGTCCTCTGCTATTCTTATTTTATTTTTATTTTTTGAAGGTTCTTGCTTGCTTTCGGCGGCGTTACAAGGGGTGGGGGGGCCACATGGTTCCTGCTTCCTCTGTCGTCCGTTCCTCGTGCAGACGGCCCTGGCTGGGACGGGGGGAGCCTGCGAGAGTTTCGGACGACGTTTGAGAGAATGCACGGCGTACCATGTACATATATCTATATACCTTTTGCGCGATACAATCATCACGAGAACGATTTATGATCACAGACAACAAATAATCCCACGGACCGTTCCGTTCATTGAGTTAAAAAAAAATATCACGCGAAGACGACGGATTTTGTGGGACACACAGTGGTGGGACGTCGATTGAGAAAACTAAGACTCTATAATTGATACAAGATACGGGTCGATGTGGAAGACTCTGAAAGACAGCGGTGGACAGAGACCAAGACTTCTCATTTCTTCTTCTTCCGACTGTTCGTAGGCTTTCTCTTGGACGGCGACGGGTTGGCAGATTTCTTGCCCTGCGAAACCTCACGCGCCGGTTCGCGAGTGGCAGCCTCCTCCACGACAACGGCCTCCTTGCGGCCACGTCTCGTCGTCGGAGGCGGCGGCGGCTGCGGTGGTTGGACAATCTGAGCGCCGTTGCCCGTGCCGTCGCTGGTGCTCTCCTCGCTGCCCTCCTCGCTGCTGTCTTCGCTGCTGTCCTCCTCGGGTGGCGGACCGCGCGAGGCCCGGGAACTACGCGTCACCGGGGGTGCAACCGAGGGTCGCCGTCCGTCTGTAGAGCCCGAGACGTTGCGTCGCGAGGCGGCCACGTGGGGGCCCTCGACCTGGAACTGGAAGGGGTCGACGTTTGAGCGCGACTTCGACATGGAGGATGTGGCCGACGACGCCGGCGACATGTCCGAAGGCTGACGCTGAGAGTTGGCACCCTGTGCGTAGGCGTACCTGAACGGCGACGAGCCCCTCTCGTCCATGGTGCGAGAGGTGGGTCGCTGGGAAGCCGAAGTTGCCGAGCGGGGTCGGGTACGAGAAGCGTTGGGCGGTGGGAAGTAGCCCATGGGCGGTAGCGGACCTCGCGTTTGTACTTCGGCGAATGTGCCCGGAGACGGATGGCGCGGCAGGTCATCCTCGGCAGTTATCGTCGGCGACCTTTTGCGGGACGTCGGCTCGAACTGGGACAGCGGGATGGCGAACCGCTGCTCCTTTTCTCGGCGTTGTTTGCGCTCCTGTTTGCGCGCCTCCTTTTCCATGCGCTTCCTCCGCCGCTCGAGGGCCGCCATCTCCTCCTTACTGAGGTTGACCTCCAGTTTGCCCCGTTCCTGTGCGCGCCGTACGCGGGCGAGGGCTTTTTGCGACAATGCCTCGTCCCGCTCTTTTGGTGACAAGAGCTCCCAGTCAATCTCGTTTTCGACGTCGTCTTCGTCGGAAGAATCGTTTTCAGAGTCCTCGGTGTCGTCCTCGTCGTCGTCCTCCTCCTCCTCCTCCTCATCTGAGTGCCGATATCCGTGTCCTCTCCGCAGCACAGCAGCCTTGCCACTCAAGTCCGTACCCGTAAAGCGGAGCGGGTCGCTGGCAAACCGCTGCCCTCGCGAAAGCAAACCAACGCGTTGCGTATCTGAATCTTCCAAGTCTGTCTCCAGTTCCTCGACAACTCTCCTTCCATCCTCCCAGGACCCCTGTTGCGGCGCTCCCTCTTTCCTCCGCCCGCGCCTTGATGGTCTTCCCCACTGGGGCGCAAATTTGGGAGCTCGCGGCCGACCATCTAGACCGCCTCCCCGGAAAAAGCCTCATCGATGGGCTTGTCCATAAAAGCGGCGTGGCCGAGGACGACCACGCCGGAAGCACCCACGAGCCAGAGCAGCGTCGCAAAGGGCGAGGCATACAGGCCGAGGGGCACGGAGATGACGAGGAGACCGGTCCAGAGCTGGGAGGTGGTGGCTCTGAATGTGCCGATCTCGAGGTCACGACCGTCGAGTTTGCCAATGAGGAACATGCCGGCAATGACAAAGATGATGTCGAACAGCAACACCCAGTTTGTCAACAGGGCGTAGACGCTGAGCATCAGGAAGACGACGCTGTAGTTGCTGGAGAAGTAGGAGAGGTTGTAGTTCCATCGCGACTGGACCTCGCCGAAGTTGGCGGGCTTGGAGAGGCGCTTCATGTCGAGGAACTCGGAGATGGGACGCAGGTTGGCGAAGCGTCCGCTCAAGCCACCGGAACGCATGCTGTTAAAGCGATCCTGGAGGTTGAGGCGAGACGTCAAGGCGTCGAGGGGGATCTGGATGCGAGACATGGTGTCGGCGTGATGTGATGGATGGGACGTCGCAAGGGTGGTTGATTGTTAGGCGTCGGTAGGTGATGGCGGGTGACGAGAGGTCGGTCGATTCGATGTCGAGACGAGAGAGAAAGGGTTTATAGAGGATGGCTGCTTTTTGTTTGGCGGCAAGAGATAGACCGTGTTCTATTTAAGCGGGTGAGGGTTAGCGTCGTGCTCAGGGTCGACAGGCGAGGAGAGTATGTATGATGGGTTTGAAACAATTGAGGAGGTTCAGGCCATGTGTCTTTTCAGCTCCATTCCATGTGGAATTAGCTTTTTCGACGCGCGGGAACGGAACGCGTACGTACTTATTTGGAGGCGTTGGCTGCGCTAAGGTACTGGGTAGCCTGGTGCCTGCCTGGAGAGGGCGATAGGCAGGATGATGGTGCAGGATAAGGTGAATGACTGAAGTCAACAAAGTTGTGGTTGCTGATGCTGTTGCGATTCGTGGCCGTCGTGACTCGGTAACACAATGCCGAAATACCTTTTTTTTCTCTTTCTTTTTTTCTTTCTTTCTCTCTGTCCCTTTTGTTCAGCGAGTTGGCTGGATCCGTAATCTCTCTCGTCAGTCCAGTTCAGGGGGGTACGTATTTTTGTAGTGCAGGTTGAGGATCCCGCACGTCTGGTTGGTTGGATGGCGTGGGACAGTGGGGAAGAAGGGGAATGTGGGGCAACCAGTTTGCTTGTCTATGTTTCCTGCAAAAAAAAAAAAAAAAAAAGGAAAAGCAAGACACGACAGAACTCTCAGTCTTTTCGCTCTTGCCCCCACATATTCTCTCTTAGTCTCCAAGACAGGTCCAGCAGCCAGATGGAAGAGGAATTCGGTGGGCTGCAAGCTGAGAGAAGGGCGAATGCCAAATGCCAAAATGCCAAATGTGGGATGCAAAGACGGAAGGGATGTGTGTAGGGTACGAAGGGGCAGGAGAGAGAGAGGGGGGGGAGGGAGGGAAAGAGGGAAAGCAGGAAAGAGGAAGGTGACTACGCAAATGCCTACAGAGCACCTGCCCGAGAGATGGGTGACTGCCCAGGTAGGTAGGTAGGATGGGGATGATGCAGTGTGAATGGGCAGGAACAGCAGGTGCAAGGGGAAAGAACAATGGCGAAGCTGCATCAAATGCACATACCTCGTTCGGCTTTCCTTCACCACCTAGCTTCTTTCTCCTCCCCTCAACCGAGGTCGAGATTGTTTTCTTCACTCTTCTGCCGTACGGGTTTCCGACCCTTTGGTCGCTGGATTGTGCTGTGCTGAGGCGAGTCGATTGCGGGGACTCGCTCGCCTCTCGTTGGTCCTAGGACGGGTTTCTTCCTTCCGCCCCTTGTAAAGATCAAGAAAGACGTCACTGGTCGTGATGATGCATCTCCTCCCACTGTCCACCCTTCCGACTCTGGCAGCCAGAAAAGAGAAGTGCAACAGGAAACGGTGCAAGATGTAGAAGAGGAAGGGGCAAGGAAAAGAAGCGACGAGGGGAAGGGGACATGCGCAACCCAAGGGTAATGAAGGGACGAGAGAGAGAGCGAGAGAGCTCTGACCGCCTCTCTTGCACCAGAGACAGACTTTTTTTTTTCTTCCTCGTCTTGGTGGATGTGGTGGTGGTATATCAGATTGTTGGGCTGCAACTAATGCTACACCGTATCCAATGGGTCTTGCTTTGGTATGACACTACCACGTCTGCTGCGTTCCTTGGGTTTCTGACGCATCCGGACCGGGTGAGAGCAAGACACGACAAGCAGGACATGACAGGACGGGCCCGGCTCCAAAGACGTAGCCAGCATCATGACACGAATTGGTTCGACAGGTTGGGCCACTTCATGCAAGCTTCAGCAAGTCAGAGCCGGCCAAGTCACACTGCGAGGCTGCAGACCCTTCCCACACCGCATCTGCCCGCCTGCTCCGGTCTCTCCGTTCTGCGGATCCGGACACTGAGGTGCGGCTACAAAGGCAGAGAGAGCGAGAGAGAGAGAGAGAGAGAGAGAGAGAGAGAGAGAGAGAGAGAGAGAGAGAGAGAGAGAGAGAGAGAGAGAGAGAGAGAGAGAGAGAGAGAGAGAGAGAGATGGGCCCGATGTTTCTTGATGATGAGACCCGGAGGCGGTGGGAAGCACTAGCCACCGCCCATGAGCCATCGCTCATTGCCCATCGCCCATCGGTCTCTCCCAGAGTCCAATATTGCTGAGGCAGGCAGAGAGAATTGCGGGTATGCCAGGAACCCATGGTGGGCTAGTGGGTAGTGTAGTGTCGTGGCTGGCCCTCAAGGAAACCCCCAGATACCAGATGCCCCGAGCGATACTAACGTGAAGCCATTGCCCGCCAATCATGACGTGAGGCCAATGAACTGGACTGGTAGCGATGATGACGGCCGAGCTAGACAAGGTTTTATTTTTATTTTTATTTTTTATATCATCCTTCCTTTCTCCCGAGTAGGAAAACGGGCATTGAGCAAGATATCATCTCGGGCCGACCGCGTCATTAATGCCTCTTCAGTCTCAGACAATCACCAACGCCTCGCGTGCATATCAACTTCGAACTACCGTTTGAAGAGGCAGCTAAGACAGCAAGCCCCAGTCTCGAAAGCAAGGCCATCAAGCTTGTGTGGGTAAATCCCGACCGAGGCTGAAAGGCATACACGTAGGTAACCACTCTACTTGCAACGCTCAAAACACACACGGCATCTTGTTGAAGCTGGATGAATTATCGGAACCGCGTTCCGGGAGAGCCATGTGCCACCACAATCGGAGGAGCAAGCGCAGTAAGCCACAAACAAGTCTCATCTCACCGTGATGCCGCACGCCCGCGCCTCTGCTTTTTTTTTTTTTTGGTTTTTTTTTTTTTTTTTTTTGCTTGCTTTCCTGCTTCCTTCTTCCACCTCTATCTATTCTTTGCTGCCGCCAGTGGGTGAAATGCTATTAGATGCACCAAAGTTCGGGGGAAAAAAAAGACAAAAAAAACCCCTACTCATTCATTCCCGAATCCGTGTTGGATCCATTCTCCATGCTCGTGGATCATCACGAAATCTCGCCCCGTATCCACTGAGCCACTCGGTCAGCAGCCAGGGTCCCTGACTCGGTATTCCGGAATGGGCAACAGCGGGATGGACGTCGCGGTGAAGTTGCGAGCACACCTTGGTAACCCCAGGTCAAGCTCGCTCAAGCTCAAGATGCAAGCAAGTCCAGTCTGTAGTGTAGTGTACGTGTATGTACAGGTATACCATGTCGTACCATACCATAGTACGGATATACCGTACCATACCATACCATACCTACCATGCACATACATAACACTCCATGTATGTTGTGACACCTCGTGCCATGACCTTTTCTCTGCACGACACGAGCTCCACTCTGCGCATGTTGGCTTCGAGGTGAAATACTCGATAGCTGTGTCTAGCGTAGCGTTGTTCATCTCGTTTCCTTGTCTAGCTTTTTTCTCACCCTTCCCCGGCCTTGCTTGCCTGTACTTTGCACTACCGACTCTCCGTCTCTTCCTCTTTCTCTCCATCCATGCAAAGTCCCAGCACAGCACTGTAAGCGAGGCAAATTGCTGCAACCAGCGCCACCTCCCGCGAGATGCTCGCTCTCTAAAACGATGCCGGGCTAGCCCGTTGCCGCCTCGTCTCGTCCGGTTCAAACAGACACGGACGCAGCCAACGTTGTCGATGGGGGTCGGCATGGGAGCGGCGCACGTCCTCTCCACCCGTGCCGTCGCCGCTCCCCCCCTCCTCCCCCACCACCAACACCCCCCCTCTAACGTAGGTACTCCCCCCCCTCCGATCCCAATCTTTTTGACCTCTTTTACTTTGAACTACTGTTATTAGAAATCTCGTTTCTATTCTCATTCATCCCAGGCCCATTACGTCTCCTATCCGCCTGCCCGGTCTAACTTTCCTCCTGCCCGGTCTACCTTTCCCCCTTCCTCCCATCTACTTACTCCCCGTTACCTTGTTCAACAGGCTTGCTTTGCCTTTCCTCTTCGTTCGCATACACGGCTTCCACACGAATACATGCGAAGAAACACCTCTGCTGCAGCAGAAGCACAACTCGTCTCGCACGCGCGGTACATGCCGTGACTGCTGCTGATGGTGCTCTATCACATCTCATCCCTCACTCTCGCGCCAAGCGAGTGACCCGGGGGTGTGAAGTAAGAGCTGGGAGTCACACGCCCAGACATCCATCCCATCCATCCATCCCCATCCTGGCGCCCCCCCTCACCCTCCCTACCACACCCATCATGGGGAACGGAGAGAGCTCTCACCTCACACCCCCCTGCTCGACGCCGAACCAGGCGTGCCGTCCATTTCCAGGATTGGGCAAACAGCGTGAACCCCGCCACGCTCACCAGATACGTTGCTGTTGCCGCAACGGACGGGATACGTACCATGACTTTTTGTAGCAGCAGTTGCTTTGCTGTCGCAAGAGCTGTTGCTGCAGCCGTCCCTGATCAGATATTGAATCCGTACCTACTACCTACGTACCTTGGTAATTGCGGGCGGACAGGGAGACACGGGACAGCTACGAGAAAGCTATACGCACCTTCCAACGCAAGCTATCCCCCAGAGCACTCGTTCCCATCGCCCGAAGCGAGGGTATTGACTGCATGTGCCGCCGTACCTGAACCTGGCCAGGACCTTGTCCAAACCACCTACCTACCTTCCAACCTGGTCCCGTCCTTCGGAGCTGGACCGATTGCTGTTTTGCCTCTTTCTCCCCTTTTGGCCAGCAAGCGTTGGCTCCCCTTCCCGTTGGTTGGCTCGCCCAGATCCGACCTGCTTGATGCGAGGAGGCTGACTTGGCTCGATGTGTGTGCCCTGGTCCAGTGGCCGCGGGAGTAGGAATAGAAGTATCCGTACAGTAGTAACCGTAGTAGTAGGAAGGGGCAGCCGGGAGTGTGAGGGGAGAAAAGCAATAATCATCTCCTGGTCCCAGAAGAGGAACGATCGAGCAAACAACCGAGAGACCATTAAGGGCCAAACCGTCATTGAACCCCCCCCCCCCCCCCCCCCTCCCCTTCCCGCAAACTCACAGTTCACATCCTTCCCGTCGGTGACCAGAGGGCCACTCACTATGAAATGATCCTTCCGTCCACTTCTTCCCTCCTTCAACCATCCCGCCTCCGTTTACCTGCTGCCGTCTCATGACAACTCGGTCATCATCGATCTGGATTAGCCCCGGCCTCTTCTGACCTAGACAACCGACGCCGCCGACAGCAACGACAACACAGGCAATAACAAGCACGACGACCGAGACGAAGACGCCGACGACCATACGACCTGTGGCTGACGCAGACCCCGTACATTGCCGCGCACCCGCGCCCTACCCATGCCCCCCACCAAGCCGGAAGGTATGATCTGTTCTTTACATTTATCCAAACCGATTGATTGTCCGGTTTTCATGTTTGTTCGGTCGCAAAAACTCGGAATCATCCTCCCCCTATTGACCGGTTGATTGTTTGTTTGTTTGGTTGCGAGACGAACGAAAGGTGTCCAGCAACACGGGGGGACGACGATGGAAAGGACAGATTCGAAATCCTGGGGAAACGAGAGACAATCGCTGATTTAAACCCCGTCGGGAAAAAAGAAGAAAGCCTGGCAATGTCCATCATGGCCCCTCCCACGGCCGCAAAACGCTCGTACGCCGCCTTGAATAGAGGTGGTGCCAACATGCCCATCGCCGAGTCATGGTGAGTCTTGATGGACGACAGTTGATTTTATTTTAATTGATTTCCGGTTTTGTACATGTTTCCACTGCCGTTTTCTACCTTCCAAACGGATCCTCCAGATACCCCTCCCCTTGCACGAAACACTGTCCCTTTTTCAATCACATCCGCCCCATGCAAAGCTTCCATTACTGATTCTTGATGCAAAAAAAAAAAAAGGCCCGAAACACCATACGCCGACTTTGACTGCTCCAAGTATGACTACGTGCCGACCGACGATGGCGGCTTCTGGCAATTGCAGCAGCAACATGCACCTTCAGAACAGCTGCCAAACGTAGTACCGCTCGTTGCCACAAGCAAATCGCCCATACAGCAACAGCAAGACGTTGAATGGACGTGCTTGTCGGCAGCATGTCCTTCGAAGCCGTTCAAGCGCAAAATCGACCTTGACCGGCATTACCTCCAAGCCCACGCGGACAGCCAAACGCAGCCGTCGCCCGCTCTTTCTCTCAAAGACATCACGCCCGCGACGAGTATCAGCAACCCGAGTCCCAAGATCACCACCAAGAAGAACCCGTCAGGCAGCGGCAAGGTCAAGGGCGCGGCAGGCGCTGGCGTTGGAGCGGGAGCCAACGCAGGAAGCAGGAACAACAGCGTCAGCGCCACGGGCAAGGAGAAGGACGGGGCCTTTCTTTGCGACTATCCGGCTTGCACCCGCAAGAGCGAGCCCTTTAGCCGCAAAGACCGTTTGCGCGTCCACCTTACCGACGTTCACAAGGAAGACGTGGACAAGAAGACGAGCGACATGTCGGACTCGTGGTTGCAGGAGCGCAAAATCTATCCCAAGTGGTGGCGCTGCACAAAATGCCTCGACAGGGTCAAGATCGAAGAGAGCGGGTGGGAGTGTCCCAAGGATGGCTTCAAGATCGAGGAAAGACGGCGCGAATTCCGCCAAAAGCAGCAGCCCATGTAAAGCGCGCACGCGTGAGAGGATGAGATGATATCGTCCTGCCATGCATCCCGTCTCATCGCACTGCATCGCATCGCATTGCATCACACCGCATCGCCATACCACGCTATGGCGGTTGGCATGATTGGATTGACCAAGAACAAAGAAGAGGAAAAACGGAGTTTTATCGCATAAAAAGCTGTCTTCTGAGGGATACCGGGAGGCGGCGTTTGGCCTGTACAAGGTTTGGTCCTTGACCTTTTATTTGTTATGGGGTTGGTTGGTAGGAATTATCTCAACATCGAGACGCGGCATAAAGGGACATTTGGGAGTCTTTTCCTTGGACATATTGTTCCATTCACCTTCTTCTTGAATGTTTTCATTGGCAGTGCGGTTCGGCCTTGGCCTTGTCTTTTCGTTCATTGTTTTATTGTACATTTCGACGTCCGTCCGTCTTTGGAGGCTTGGTTCTCCCCACCCTCCTCTCCTCATTTTCCTTTTCTTTCCGTCTTTTTTTCTTTTTTTCTTTTCTGGACGACTTCAGTGTCGGTTCTCCCCCCCCCCCCCCCCTAAGAATGCAGACATGATTGGGACCTCCACCCCTGCCTTCTTCGTTGACACTGAAAACCAAAAGTCCCTCGGCTTTCTGGTGCCCGGGTCGTCCGGTCTTCTTGGCAGCCCGTATCCGACTCCCCCGAGCTTACTCTTCGGGCAGATGGCCCGTTATGTAGCCATCGTTTCTCTTGGTACTCTCGCACACCATTGCGCCCAAAAGACGGATATCCCTCCCATTCATTGTTTTGGCAAATCAATATCAGTTTTGTCATTATTTTTTTCCTTCTTTCATTTTTACCGAATCAATACCCGCCTGATACTCGAGTCCTCAGGCCCGCGAGGTTTGCCCCCAAGAATATGCACCCAGAGACTTTCACACCCAACTAGCGCCAATATTCCGTCAGCAGGCTCTAAAATACTATTTAGAATACCCGCAGCGCGCATCCCATACCCCAGTCTACCATGCGCAGAAGATACCACAAACCAGTAGGGGTGGTCTGATTCACACCAACTACAGGCGCTGGCTCCCCCCTGGGCAAAGGTAGTGGTGCTCAGCTCAGCCTCCAATCTGGGAGTCTCCATCTTGCTGCAGATGATATCGACGCCGTGATTGGCGAGAGAGGGAAAAGAAAATGAACCTGCAGTCCCAACGGAACAATGTGGCCCTGGGCCTTTTTGGTACCCCCCTTTACCCTTGACCTTGACTGGGCTGCTTGCGACCCTCCATCTGTGTTCTGCGTGGTATCGCCCTTTGCTCCCCGTCCGTTGGCGCGGTCTACTGCACGGTGGCCAGGTTTCGAGGGGACCCTTTCCGTGCCGCCGATCATGCCAGCACATCGCCCTTGTCCTAGGAATGACCTCGCAGGACAACCTCTATCTAACCGTTAAATGTTGGCACATGCCGTTTCCTTGTAAAGAGCATACCTTTTCAGGCCTTTTCACTTAGTGTACTCAGATCCTGCCATCGGAGATGGGCTAGGCCGAGCTCAATACGAGTTAATGCCCAGAATTCTGTGAGCGTCAGTGGAGATGACGTGCTTGGCATGTGCTCGAGACGATGACGACGTCACGCGACGCATCAATCCGCCTCCCTTCGTCGACTGAGGCCATCGTCAACGCTAGATAATCGTTGCGGTGCTACCGACGGCTTCGTGTGGTAGATCAAAGGTGAATGCGAGACCCAACACGCTGACCCCCGAAGAAAAAAAGGCCATGCTGCGCCTCGAGGTTCCCAAGTCCAAAGCAATACATACACTTCTCGAGGTTGTTGAACGATACCGCACGTTTATCAAGGCCCAATTGAGAGCCGCTTACTGTTCGAGAGGAACTAGTTGTGGTACAATGCTTTGATTGATGCAATTGACAATGACGCAGCAGACGGGGCGCTGTGCCTCGCGGATCACAATGGCTTTGCTCTGTTTCGTGACTTGGATAATAACGGGCCTTGAGTAAAAGATGTCTCTCTTTTGTCCAACAGGACACAGAACCATTATTGATCTTGAATTACGGTGGCATGAACATTGTTTCCAACACAATGGCGAGCTTCGTCCCCTTGTTCGGACCAGCCTGCTGTTCGACGACCATGAGGACTCGGCATCGCGGTTTTAAACGCCCAAACATCTCCTGGCCGGCGAACCCCCCCACAGCCCACAAGAAACGAAAGATATACGCCCTGGACGAATTATCAACAATTTCCCACCACTGACTTGCTCAAGAAGAGAGATTTAGAGAGAGAGAGATAGAGAGAGACGGGAAAGAAGCCCCATGCCAATGCTGGGTTGCATGCCGCTGTAGCGAAGGCCTTGCCCCGACTAAGCCATGTGCCTCAAGAAAGTGACATGGCACCAGTGCCCACAAACCGACGAAGGGATGGCCGCCCGAGCCAACTACCCCCGCGACTCCATGGTCAAGCTCGGCGACGCCTGGAGGCTAGCCAGGGTCTACCACGCCACGTTCACGACGGTCCTCGACGAGAGGCTACGGCCCGGTATGCAGTACCACGTCCACGAGTCATTTGTCTACTGCGCCCACCCTTACCACGGCCCCTGCCGGACAGACTACGGCCTGGTGTGCCAGCTCGCCGAGGGCGAGTGCCCGGCCTGCGTCCACGACAAGGGCCTCCCGCGCAAGATCACGGCCCGCCGGGAGGTGATGGATGGCGTGCTGCCGCTGCTCACCGGCGAGTTCCTCAAGCCCTCGCAGGCCGTGTTCGAGTACGTCGCGCAGCTCGCCGTCCTGGCCAAGCACATGGTCGCCCGCAAGGTCCCCAACGTGGTCCTCAGGGGCGCCATGGTCGAGCAGTTGGTCAAGGAGGTGCGCGCCGAAGTCTTTTGCCGCTCCTTCGACGCCCACTGGGTCGGGCCCGGCGTGGCGGACTGCGGGTGCTTCTCCGAGGACTACGGCTACTGCGGCAACCTGGGCCGCTTCCTCCGGCAGCAGGAGGCCTGCAGGATCCTGGACTTCCACAGGGACATCGTCCTGCCCTATGTCAACGTGCCGGACCCCGACGGGGACGACTGGGAGCTGGTCCTGGCCCGCGAGATGATCGCCGAGTGGTTCGTCGACCGCCGGGCCGCCAGGTTCGACAAGGTCGCCATCTGCCACTTCGAGACCAACCCCCGCGAGGACCAGCGGTACCACGACTGCCTGCAGCGGCTCGAGGCCGCCGTCGTCAAGTACGCCGACCTCCTCCGCTTCGCGCTAGGGCCCGGCCGAGGAGGGCCCGACCGCACCGCGGAGCGCAACCTACGCGCACGCGCCGTCTTCCTCCGGAAACCCCTGCAGTGGATCGCCTACGACACGGGCCTCGCCGACGGCCTCGTCGAGGAGATATCGGAGGTGGTCATCCACTGGTACCTCCGCGTCGGCACGGCCCTGAGCCCGCCCGTCGACAACGCCGCCTGGTCGGCGCCGCTGCAGCTCCGGCGCGACGTCGACGCCACCCGCAGGGACATGCAGGCGACCATGGAGCGCCTCGACGGCGTCTTCTCGACGGGCGACCGCGCGGGCTGGCGCCTCTTCCGCGACCGCTTCCAGCGCCCGCCGACGCACGAGGAGATGGAGGTCCACGCCCTCCGCCGCGCGCGCGCCGAGCTCACGGCCGCCGCCGAGGCCAGGCTCGCCCACGCGCAGGCCGCCGCCGACGAGAGCGTTATCAGCGTCGCCGCCGCGCGTGGGTTGCGGCCGCCGGGCAACGGCGGGCCCAACGACAACGACAACCGTAACGGTGACGACGACGACGACGACGACGACCGCGAGTGCCCCGTGTGCGGGAGCCGCTTCGCCGACGACCCGACCGCCCGCCGCCCCGTCGTCGTGTGCGCGCGCCGCCATCTCGTCTGCCGCGAGTGCACCGTCACCCATGTCCTCAGCACGAGCGCCCACCTCCTCGAGCACGACCGGGAGAAGCTGGCCCGATGTCCCATGTGCCGGGGCTCCATGGCCGGCTTCTACCGGGTCAACCCCGATCCCGCCGACGCGCTGCGGTCGCCCCGGGTCCCGGACGAGGCCGCCGCTGCCCCGGTTGTGTGGTCCTGATCAGGGTGGCGAGGGGTCCGACAGTCCAGATAGCTGTGTCTGCGCGCGTGCGCGTGTGTTTGTAGGTGTGCGTGTGAGGGGGGGCAAGCAGGTAGGTTCGAGAGAATAGCTCTCCTCTTCCTCTAGCAGCCCGTGTGAGTGGCAAGTGGAGTGAGTTTTTTTTTTTTTTTTTTTTTTTTGTTGCAGAGACATCTCCTCCTCCGCTAAAGAAGAGGGAGTGAAGAAGAAGAAAAGGTTCAAGTTTACGCTTTGGCATAGCATAGCATAGCATAGCATCCCGACTGCATCCTAAGCCCGACGGTCCTCTACGACCTACGGTACTTACCTGGGCCCGTAAACTTCTCGGCGGCCCTCGTTGTTCCTCAGATACGACGCAGCGAGTCGGAAGCCCGGGCCCCCCCGACTGCCGTGGAATCTTGCCCGTTCAATTCAGGCAAGACACCTTGGCCGATCAGTGTTGAACATTTACCACACGCCAAAGGCTAACATCAATCTTTTTTTTTTAAGTTCCGGTTAGGTTCAAGGAGGGTTCAAGGGTTCATCAGAAAAAAAAAAGATCAACGTTTAGTGGGAAAAAGAAAAAGACTATCATACAGTTTTGGGTTCGAGCGACAGGCTCGCGGTATCCCTGAACCAGTAATGGCGAGTTTAACTTCGTGTGTGCAGATTGAAACATAAGCACCACCCGATGATTCCCCCGCATAACAGTCGTCCGCCTGCCAAACAAGCTCATCCGTCCAGAGAGCAAAGATACGATTACAGGGAGCCCTAGTATATCTCAACGCCATCGTCCGCGTTCATAGAATTTTAGTGCCGCCGGTGCATCCGCCCGACAGACCGCCTGGCTATTCATGTCACCAAAAGCAATAGACTGTGGATAATAATGAGTAGCCCAAGGCTGCCATCTTTTCACGGGCACAGCGACCCAAACATGTGCTGGCGCCCTCATCTAGAATCCAAAGCCAGTAGGCTGGGGCGCGAAGCCATTCGTCTGGCCGTAAGGCACGGGAGATGGGGCACCCATGCCGCCGGGGCCGGCGGTGATCATGAGGCGGTTGCCGCCGAGGATGGGAGTGTTGGTTTCATCCTTCTCCTGCTCCTTCTCCTTGCTCTTACGGGCCTCGTTGTCGGCCTTGAGGGTTGCCAACTCCTTTGTCTGCTGGCACAACATGTTGATCATGTAGGGCATGGCGAAATCGGTGAGGCCGTGGCGCCAAGAGATCTCGAGAACCAAGTCAGGGCGGATAAGGTCGTAGCAGGCGTAGAGCATGCCGACGTAGCACTCGCGGCTGCCAATGTCGACGAACTGTGCTTTGTTAGTATCACACATGGTCCAAGGTCTTGGTATTCACTTACATAGCGGAGCAGGTCCTCCACAACATCGGTCTTGCCAGAAATGGCAGCAGTCTCGATGGCATCCTTGAAGAGCTTGTCCTGCTTGGAGAGAGCGATGGACTTCTCCCACCGCTTGTTCTTGCGGTAGATGTTCGCCGCGATCTGGCGGAAGAAGATCAAGTCGTGCTTCTCCAGACGAGAAGCAAGGTCGACGGGGTCGTAGTTGTCGTAGTTCTCGACGGAGTCGCGAAGCGTCTTGTAGTCCTCCTCCTCGATCAGCAAGTCGTTGATGGCATTGTTGACCGTGCGCTTGTTTTGGCTCTGCACGTTGATGAGGAAAGGCTTGATCAGCGGCAGGTTGTCGCTCTTCTCAAACATCTTGACCACACGGTTCACATCGATACGGGGAGTGAGCGCCTGGAGCAGGTCCGTAAGTAAGGAAGGGTGCTGCTCGAGGTAGAAGTTGATTGCGCGGTAGTAGATCTCCAGATTGGCGACCTTGACAACGATTTCCTTGAACTGCTGGTGCTCCCAAGAGTTCTCGGGGCGCTCGATGACCGCCAGAGCGGCGTTGTCGAACTCGTCGTAGTGGTAGTAGCAGAAGACCAGCTCGGGCCAGAGGTTCGCCTCCTCGCAGGCACGGATGATCTTGGGCAGGTTCATTCTGCTCCAAAACAGCTTCAGGTGTTCCATGAGACGCTCGGGGTGGTACTTGGACAGGGCGATACCGAGCTCGGTGAACATTCCCATGTGGGCACGCTCGAGGCCAAGACCCTGCTCCAACAGGCTGATAAGCTCGTCAAAGTAGCCGTTGCGCTCGTACTGCTTGACGAGGGTCTGCAGCTGCTCGGCATCCACAATGAGGTTGAGACCACAGATCTGGGCAAGACGGAACTCCTTCTTGTTGACGCATGCCTCGTGGACCTGCTTCCAGACCTTGATGTTGTTGGCCTTGCGGGCGCACTCGACAGCAGCCTGGTACTCCTCGAGGTGGACGAGGGTGGTGGCCAGCTTGGCCCAGTTGGAGATGCTGGTGAAGAAGATCTTGGACGCCTGGAAGAGACCCTCTTCGTAAGCCTTGTCACCGGACTCCTCAATGTTGGCGACGTTGGTGCCGCGGAGGAAGTCCTCCAGCTCGCCAAGCTCGTCCAGGCGGGCATAGCAGAAGGCGAGAGCAGTGTCGATGGCGGGCTCACGCAGCGTCTTTCTGGCCATGCGCAGGTACTTGACAAGGTCCTCGTTCTTGCCGGCGCGGACAGCCGTCTCGATGACCTCCTCATAGTTCTTGGGGTCCTCGGCCTTGATGTACGACTCGATGGAGTCGCTGACACGGAGGCCGTCGAGCTGGGCCTTGGCCACCTTGCTCCATACCTCGGGCAGGTCGACCTCCTCCGCGTAAGCCTGGGCGCGGTCGATGCTCACAACATTCTCAATCAGGACGTTGACAGCAGAGGTCTTGTCGCCAGTCTTCTTAAAGATCTCGAAGGCCTCCTCGTGGAGGCCGACATCGATACAGGCAGACGCAATATCGGGAGCGCTGAAGTTGTCCAGGCGGTGGATGTAGTCCATAACCTTACCCTTGTCGGCCTTGGCAGCGGTAAACAGAAGGAGGTTCTGGAGGTTGGCGTTGTCGCTGAAGGGCGAAGGCTCTAGGACGATCTTCTCAAGCAGCTCGATAAGCTCGAGAGGGAGGTCGCAGGCAAGGAAGGCGGCGACAGCCTCGGAGACCTTGGCAGGGTCGGTAGATTCCGGAACAGCGGTAGCGGTCACCTGGTCAATCACGGAGCGGCGATGGATGTTGTTCTCGCTGAGAACAAAGGTCCATAGCTCGCGGTCAGCCCGCTCGAGCAGGTAGCGAGCCTGGTTGCGGTACATGCCGTTCTCGTTGGTGATGTTGACGAGCTCGAGGTCGTTCTGACCCTTCGAGTAGGCGATGAAAGCCAGGTTGGGGTCACGCTTCTCGCAGTATTTACCGACGGTGAGAGTGTCATACTGGTCGTTCTCCTTGAGGAACTTCTCAGGGTTGTTGTTCGAGTCGATGTAGATCTTGGCGAGGGCGTTGAAGACAGCCTGCTGCTGGTTGCCAGCGGCAAGGGTGGCCTCGAGGAAGGGCAGGAGGAGCTTGAGACGGTTACGAGTCTCGACCTCGGAGACGAGCTCGTCGATAGGGATCGACGCCGGGTTAACAGTCGACAACAGGTTCTTGATGATGCTCTCGTCGCAGTCGACATCCAGAAGACCACCGATGACGGCAGGTGTCCGGCTGGGATTGACACGCTGGACGTAGGTCTCGATGGACTGGAACTGCTGCTGCTGGTAAAGGTAAAGCACCAAGTCGTGGACAAAGTTGAAGCGGTCGCAGACGATGATGAGGGGCAGCTGCTCCTGAAGCTTGGCCTCCTTCAGGAAGTTCTTGACCTTCTCGGCATTGTAGTAGTTGCTGTCTCTGCAAATGCGCTCAACCTCGTTGAACTGGCCCATCTTGGTGGCAGCCTCGATGTACTTGAAGTGAACGTCAGGGTCCTCCGAGAGGTTGACGATGCTTCCGAGGTAGTAGAAAAGACCCTCGGCAGTCTTGTACTTCTCGAAGAGGTCAATCAGACGGACCGGGCCAAGCAAATCAGAGTACTTGGTCGCGACTTGTACCACAGCCTGAAGGTTCTGGCGGATGTTGTGCTTGATCATCGCGTCCAAACAGTCGAGGGACTGCTCAACGGACAGCTTGCCAAAGAAACCGGTCAACCAGTCGAGGTTGAAGTTGGGGGTGGCGGCAATGTTGACCACAACACGCTTGACAGCCGCGGGGTCCTCGTAGAGCTCCAGGGCCTTCTGGGCCAGGCCGGCCTGTTCGCAGAGGGTCGCAATGCGAGTCTTGTCGAAGTGGGAGAACATGTCGTTTCCAAGAATGGCATCAGCGACCTGGGGCGCATTCATCAGGTTCATCTCGAGGAGACGAGTCTGAAGGTGGCCCTGGTCGGGTCTGTTGTCTTTGAGTGCATCCAAGAGGAAGGCGGTCGCCTGCTGGATCATGCCCTGGGACTGGAAGATGTCGACGACTCTCTCGATATCAACCAGAGAGCCGCCCTCGTTGTTGGCCAAAGCCGTGGCAAACTCGGCTCCCTTCTCCGGGTTGACACGAACAATGTGCTGGAGCAGCTGGACGTAGTCGGGCTGGTAGCCGGTCTTGGTGGCGTAAGGCAGGATCTTGTCGAACTGGCCGGTTTCGGCGAGGCCGGCGACGACCTTGTGGGGGACGTTGGCCTTGATGTACATGGCGAGAGCCATGTTCAGGTCATGAGGCCGCACGAGGTCACCGAGCCTCTCCGAAGGGGTGAGCTTGTTCTCCTTCTGCCACTTCTCGAGAAGGTTGAGACGGTTCTGGGCCAGAACAGGCTGGGCCAGCTCGATGGACTCGTGCTCGTTGAGCGCGCCCTTGTCGAGGAGAAGACCAAAGTATTGCAGCACAAACGACATCTGGCCAGGCTGCTGGGGCAGCGCCTTGAACTTCTCAATCGTTTCGGCAGTTCGGAGGAACTGACGAGGAGAGTTGGCTGCGATCTTTGCCGCCTCCATGAACTGACCGCTGTTGAACAGCTGCTCGAACTGACGAGCATAGAGATTATCAGCACCAGGGAGGCCAGCTCGTGATGCCATCTTGATAGCCATTTCGGTATTGGCCGGGTTCTGGAGGAGGTAGGGAATGACGTTACTGTCGTCGATCGAAACGAAGAGCACTTGACCCTTGCGGTTGATGCCGACAATACCACGAGACTCGGCGTCGGGGGAGGTGGTGAAGATGGTATCGCTGGAAATGCGGTTCATGAAAATGCAGGCTGCGGTCTCGAGGTCGTAGACGTGGATGAAACCGTACTTGGTGACCATGAAGATGACACCGTACTTCTGCGACACCTGCATGGCCACGGGGAAATCGCTGACAGCTTCGGGAGGGAAGAAGATGTCGACGGCCTTCTTGGGGAAGACGGGGTTCGATTCAGCGTGGTCGACCTCGACGATGTGGAGCTTCGCGCCGGTTGCCGTCCTCACGGCGAAGGTGAAGAGCTTCGTGTCGGCGGGGGCACCCTCGAGGCGCAGAGTGCCGAAGGCGGCAGCGTGGCCCTCAATTGCTTGGCTGATGCCGCGGTCCTTGGAGTACAGCTGCATGGATCCAACAACGCGGCCCTGTTGCTGCGAGATGCCCACGACGACCATCCACTTGCCCTCGGCGTTGGTGCGGTAGTTGATGATTTGGCAACCCTGGTTGCTGAATATTAGCTCACGATGTTCCCGTTAGGTGCGAGGAGGGCGAGAGTGGCACATACGTTCAGGTTGGCATTGCGTTTGAACACCTCGACCGGCTGAGCTTGACTGGGGTCGTAGACGTCCCAATGGTAGACTGCTGTGTCTGTCACCAGGCCCAAGGAGGTCTCGTTGATCCACTTCCAGTACTGGACGTCCTCGTTCATGGTTGTGGACTTGAGCTTTGCCTTCTTCTCGAGGTCGAATATCTGGAGTGTTCTCGATTGCGCCTTGAGAGCAATGACTTGGCGAGTCCAGTGCATGATGGCACTGTCGGCCTTGATGGGGCGCCGCGTCACATTGTTGCCGTTCTTCAGGTCGACGATGACGACTTCGGGCTGGGCAGCTTCGTTCTTTTTTTCCCGGATGCACACGTACGAGTCCGACTCAAGTGTCTGGAGACGAGACAGGTTAGCGACGATGGAGGGGCTTCAAGGCAAGGAGCGGGAGGGACAAGAATGGCTTACGCAGGAGTTGAAGCCGATGGAGGAGTCCTCAACGCCGGCAGTCTGGAGCTGGATCAGCTCCTGGAACTTGATCGGTAGTGGCGCCATGACTGGCGGTATGTGCGACAGGAAGCTTCCAGAGACGAAGTCGGGCTCCTCAGCTAAGTGGTTTCAGGTCCCAGAGTCGGATTAGCCGGCTGGTCGGGGGGACAGCGTGATTTCGTGGAGGCGGGCGACGTGGAGTGGTGTCGTAAGGGTGTGCGGGCTCGGAAAAGGAGAAGAAGCTGGGGATAGCTTCCTTGCGACCCGAACGAATAATGCGCAGAAGGCAATTAATACAGGGAAACAAAAAGCGGCAGAGGAGGAGGAAAGCGCAAATACGGGGTAGCGATGCACCTCGCAGTGATGACAATCTGGAGGGCAAGCGTTGATGATGGTTTGTTTGGGGGGGGTGGGTGGGAGGAACGGGAGAGATGGGCTAGGTTAGGTAGGTGTAGGTGAATACGGGATACGTAGTGCGAAGCGAGGTGGAAAGGTTGGACATTAATTTTGGGTGTAGTACCTTACGTTGCCTCCCAGGTCTGGCCAGGTTTATTGTGCACTGGGGACCAGGGGCACGACGAGTTGTTTCTGTCCACTGGGTCACCGCCAGATTTCCTTTCCCAATTGCCTGCCAGCCTGCCGCTCCGCTGTCTTCAGCCACGCGAGGCCTTCTCGGCCCGTGCACCTTCACTCTACTATACCTAGGTACTTACCGCAAGAGGTCTCTCCTCGTCACGTGAGTTCCATGCTGAGGTGGCCGTTTGCAGCCCCGGCAGCATGTTTGGCCGCATGCGGGTGACGTAAGCTGTACATGCCCCTTTCCCTTCTTCCTAACCAGGGCCCGCTTGTCATTCAGCTGCGGCCGGCCACGGGCCAAACATCTCGGACGCATAATGTATTATTGAATTGAGTCGTTGGAAATTGAGTGTGTTCATGTTCAACATCCGAACCAACCTACATCTACTACTCTGCATTCCGTGATGCCCTCCCATTGATACGCCCGTCACCACGCCGTCTTCAATCGGATAAGTTGACTCTGAAACTGCACAGGGAAAAAAACGCCAACGAGGGGTTTCACAACTGAGACTCAATTCCAAGCTAATCATGGAGCCGCTTTTCCCTTATCCTGTTTGCCAACGACAGTCGTCTCGACGACACTAGATATTTGGTCCACTTGTTTGACGGCCACCGTACGTTCAACCTGTGTATACCGCAGCATCTGTTGCATCTAGCTTGCTATCAATCCTGATCTGCAGGCGTCCAACTCCAATCTTGCGTGTCACCGCTGCCGTCCTACAAAGGCGTTGCCGGTCAAATTGTTAGTTAATGTCCGGCGTGGCCATATCTCAGATTGTGAAAAGCTGCGTCTTCACCTTACCCTCGCCAGGAACGAGGGGATCCCGGTAGGTGACGTAGTCGACGTGCTCTGGCAACTTGTGAATCGTCTTGTTGGCGCCATCTTGCGTAGCTGTGTACCAATCAGCACCTGCCCGCCGAATCGCAACTCCCAAAGCCAAACTTACCTGAAGCGATCGAGTTGAGGCGCTTGCTCTCCTCCATCGTCTTGCGCACCTGCTTTGCAACGTCGACGGCGAAATTGTGGTTGTGGTCAACCAGATGAATGTAGTGCTTGATAACCCGACGCCACTCGTCTGGGTCAGTGCCACAAAGTTCATCGTAGGCAACGGAGCGAGAAATCGTCGCCGGCTTGGTCGACTTGGCCATCCAGCAGTGCATCCAGGGCTTCACTGCTGCCTGCGCAAATACCTTGGCAAGTTCTCGGAGGTGTTGGGGATAATTGGCAGCGAGGTTGTAGAGCTTGCCGATGTGTGCTGTCTGCAGTGCTGTGCGGTCCTCCAGCAGCAATTGCCGGACGCGCAAGCATAAGGCGTGAACGAAACGATCGTGGCAGCGCAGGCCTGTATAGTCCGATAAGCGAATGGCGGTGATAAAGTCGTCAATCATGCCGTGAGCCGATCGTATCTTGGGGTCAGGGTGCTGCGGGAATGTTCCCGTCAACAGGAAGCTAATGATCAATCCGAAAGCACCAGCCTCATTGCGCTGTAGCTTGAACTCCCTTTCGGCCTGCTCCTTCCATTCCAACTCCGAGGGTTTGATTTTGAGGGCAACTTGGAAATATTCGAAGTTCTGCACCAGGATGGTCTCGGGTATCGAGAAGCTCTGACTCTCCGTGTTGGAGATGAAGTAGATTGTAATATGGTTAGGATTGTACGGGAACCAAGACCTTTAGGGAGTATATCAGTTGCACCGACTTCAAGAAATAGTGTCTGATGATCATGTAACTTACGCAAGCCAGGAGTAGTGGCCCACGTAGGTCGTCTCCATATGTCCAGGAGCTGTCTATCTCGCACGTCAGATTCAAGCTTGTCAGAGTCCCAGTAATCTTGGGGTCGATCGCAATGTGTGGAGGGAACTGATAATTGTGTACCTTAAAATCAATAGCTGTATCACTGATGTCGAAGTCGTTCTTGCCAAGGGCTAGACGGTGGAACCCGATGCGAGCGAGATCCTTCTTCATCTCAACGCTGAGAGCTGGTTCCAGAGGACTCTGAGTATAATCGCGACCATTAGCGCAAGACTCCTCGCCGGACCGGTGCGTGGCGAAGCCTACCTGCGCGGAATCGATCTCCAAGTTGAGAGCTGGTGCGGCAGGTACCGACATGTTGACGATGCGTCGTGGCCGGTATCGTGAAGGAGAGCGTTTGAGGTATCGATGCAGACAGACGTAGAAGGGAAAGGGCGCCCTGAGCGGTTGCGAGTTTGGAGAAACCGGGTGCCAGAATCACACGGGACGAGGGATGGATCTAGGTAGACAGCAAAGAAGTTTTTCGTCTACGGCGGCAGGAGCCCTCGCTCGAAGGTCTTTGTAAGAAATTCTATCTGAGGCAGGTACGGTGGAGGGATAATTCCTCTTAGGCCACCGCCCGCATCTTCTACACAGCTGCTGTCACTGCTCTCTTGACACGAGCAGTTAGGCATAGACCTGGCTATCCAATATTAAGAGATAGCCGAGATTGGCAGGCCTCCTTGTGACGGGACGAGTGTCCGTTCCGTACAGGCACTGGTGGCGTACTTATCAGGGTGTACCGAATCTTCCGCCTTCTACTGACATCACTCGAATGTCTGCCGTCGGGTGCCCAAGTCTCCATCTACATAAGCAATCTCCAGGCACCAAGAAGCAGAGCGGCGAAACCAGTGCAGACTCCCATAAGCCACTGCAGCGTCTGGAACTTGACTTGCTCCAGCTTCTCACGCAGCGCCGCGACCTCTTGTTCAATCTTGGTCTCCGTCTCCTTGATCTTGAGCTCTTGGCCGACAGCCTCCTCACGGATGCGACCCTTCTCCAGGTTGAGATCCAAGCGTACGCTAGCCTGGGTCCGGCCGATCTCGTCGCGCAGACGGGAGCTGAGCTTCGCAATGTCGTTGCTCAGCTTCTCGTGGGACGCGCGCGTCGTGCTGGACTCGGTGCTGTCAGCGGAGAGAAGCTCGGATCGCAGCTTGGCGAAGTCGACCTTCTGGGTGTATGTGGCCTTGGCAGCGTCTTCGCGGAGGACCATGGTTCGGGTGAGGTTTTGTATGCTAGGCTACTGTAAGATAAAGCGGACCACAGGACTGAGGACATGCCGCATTACCTCTCCTCTATCACATCGTTGAGGACCTTCATCATGGCCTCGGCTTGCACCTCTGTGAACCCCTCGCTCTTCAGCCGCTGCACAAACTTCAAGGTATCAAAGTGATGGTCGCGTCGTCTCGCAGGGGTCGCGTGGAACGATCTAGTCAATCCTGGGGTGTCAAGGACCGAGGCGCGCTTGGGGTTGAAGGCGGTGCTGCGAAGTTTTGGTGATATGTTCGAGTCGCGCAGCGCATTGGGCTGTGTGTGCATCCGTCGGCGGGAATTCGGAGTGAAGGCAGCGAGGGGTCGCAGAGCTTGGGAAGCTGTGGCCGGACCAGTCCAGCTGAGTCTCGGAAGCAAGAACCTCGGGAGGGCTTCTACGGCCATTGCTGCTGGTTTGGCCATGTTGGGGAGGTTATCGGTGGATGTTGGGGGAGGAGCAAGATTAATCAAGGAGAGATTATCTGAGGACAAGACAAGCGCGGGAGATTGAGATGGCCAGCGGCAAGTGACGGCATGTCGTTGCAGGGGCCCACTTGGGCGCTCAGGTTGCCGAAGACCGGTGCAGAAACCCTCCAGTCCCGCCCGCCTCGTCGATAGCTGCCTGAGGCACAAATACCGAAGAAAAAAAAAATCTCGTTCCGACTACAAAAGTTGACATTGGCGAAAATCCCTTTCTCACTTTCCTCCTTCTTCTCCATTATTGAACAACGCAAAATAAACATTCATGTTCTCGTGGAAACAAAATCCGTTGAGAGGTTCGCTTCGGCTGAACCCAGGACCATCGGATACCGGGATCGAAATGGAGAAGGAAGCGAACAATCTTGGGTGCGATGCCTCTCTGCCTACGGGCAGGTGAGAGGGAGCGCAATGATTGAGCGTACATATATTCACCCATCGTAAATGTTTGATGTGATCAACACATATCTTTTGATGATATCCGTGGCCCTGCCTCTCTTCACGTGTCTGCAGCTCAGCTGTTGCTCGACTAGACTCTGGGTATCTACACGTGATGGAAATCTGGGATGCTGCTTCTAGGGGCCCCTAGATCTGAAGTCTCCAGTGGCCCTTGACTTAACTCAAGTGTACCGTGTCTACAGTGGCGCACCTTGGCGACGAGCCATTATCTCCGGGAGGTTTATATTTGTTGTCAACTGAGTGGCTGTTGCTCAACACCAGGGCTACGGCGGTTCGCCGGTGAAGTGAGGCTTGGGCAGGTTGTATGAGCTTATATGTCCTATCTGACCTCACCGCACAAAGTCGAAAGAGATCGCTCCACAGCATGAACGAACGAGGCAACCACGCATACAATTCCGTGCAAACTTTGCAAGGTATTTTTGCGTGTGCTCTCTATTCATCGAGGCGGACACGATCAGAAATCTCTCCCACTGTTTCCCCACAGATTGAATGTCATTTTCATACACAAACAAGAAGGCAAGAGAAAACGTTCTCTTTGGAGGAGCAAATGTTCACCGCCATTGCTTGCATCCGAATGGCATAGAAACCTGCGTTCCGTCGACGGCCAGTTGTTATCCTTGGAAGGAACCGTTGAAATGTTACATATGATGCCTTTGTATCTTGAGTCACGAGTTTTTGGGCACCCTATCCGATAACCAGGCAGCCGTCTCTCATCGGTTCAGCAAATGATTGCCTGAAAAGGTAAATTTTCTTGTCCTTGCGACTGATTAATGGGCCGAATAGACCACATACGTGCGTGTTATGGATACCTACCGGTTCGAGCTCCAAAACAATATATAGTGCTGCTTATATCGGCCCACGTCTCGAACCAAACTCAGAAGCAGATCTATTGACGCATTTCACTCATATTAGGACAGCCTGTACCATTGGGAGTAGATCCCACAGCTATCGCGGTGCGGAAACAGGATGCTGCGATGGGGATGTCCGCAGAAGCCAGGGCAATATCCCGGCCGCGTTTGATCGTTGTCGCCTCGCCGTCGTTGCCAGACCTTACGAGGCGCTCTTGCAAGTCAAAGGAACCCAAAGCCGTCGTTGATTATCTCACGTCTTTGAGGAAGCCTGTTGGGGTCGTACCCTAGGTCCTTACGATAACCGATTTCGGCCATCTCGGGGTGGTCCTATTCAAGTAGACGGAGACCAAGCGCGGGATGAAAGTGCTGCAACGGTGGGGGCGGTGCACGCCAAGTCAGAGCGCCCTTCCGACGGACTGCCTCTCTGAGGTTCTCGAGAGCTGTGTCAAAGACGACTTTTCGGTACTCGAGTTCTCCTGCCAGCATGGGCGAGCCGGTTTTGGGGACGTCCTAGTTCCAGCCAGGGAAGTTGGCTCAGGCAAGAGATCGGCACGGCTTCACGAGCTACCTCGAACTTGGCTTGCACGACTTCGGCCTCCTCGCTACGGTCAAAAGCAGTCAATGCAACGTCCTTGTCGTAGCAATACGTGGCTATGGTGGAAATGTCCAGCTCCCAGTCTTGCCGAAGCTCAAGGTCCGAAGCTCAAGGTCCAAGATGTCGTCCAAACGCCCGAGTAATACAATGGCAGTGAAAACCGCGCCACCACAAGTTTTGATACAATCCGCAAAGGGCGGGCTGGTGATGCTGGGGAGCTCGGAGGCGACGACTTGTCGCAGACCGGAGATGCTCTGCCGCGCTGATCGCCGCTTCTGAGAGTCCGGCCACGATGCGGCCGCATACCTTGGTGCATGTGTTGTGGGTACGGTGCCTTGCTTAGATGATAGAACCTTTCTCTTTTGAGACGCGTCATCTGCGGTTGCAGCGTCGTCAGTGGGTTCAATTAGACGATTCCAGTGGCTGAAGGTCTGGTCAACGTGAGTTGCCATGTGCAATATGTTGCATCTGCTGGGGACGACGCGTAGGCGGCTTGCAGTGAAGAGAGCAGCCTCGACGAACGCCTACATCTTCATCAAATGATTGCAAATATGAGCAATCGCTGGATGAGCCTTGCTAGCTTCGGTTGCCAGCGCTCGTTCGACGACGACTCTTCTCGCCTTTGCAGAGACGAAACCAGCAGCCTCCCACGTATCCAGATCTCACAACACGCGAGGGCTGACAGAGAGAGTCGGACGTCCATGTCATCAGGAAGTTCTTAGTGTACGGTTCGTGTCGAATTGAAACCCCGTGACAATATACTGCGTCATATCTTCGGGGTATGCTATTATTGACCGGGAAGTCTATACCAAAATTATGTTTCCTCCTCGGTTTGATGCAGCGATCTGCCAAGTCATAGCTTCATCTCGCACTTCCATTCAGATTCCGTGTTTGGAAATAAAACAATTAGCCTAGATGGTCTATCTATGTCTTAGGGGTAGGGGTCTCGGAATGGCATGGCGATGCTCCAAAGGTGGAGATTTAGTCAGCCCCGCTGGCAACACCAGGCAAGCCGGGCTTCGTGAAAACGACGATGGCAGAAACACGATGACTTGCATACCCTCCCTGACCCTGTCTTTTATCTGTAGCGCAAGCGGGCCTGGTGGGTTCTTGGCGGGACCGCCGGGCCGCCACTTCTTTCGCAATCTGTACAGATGGAACCTTTTTTTAATTTTTTATTCAAACTTTTTTTCCTACTTTGTGTTTCTACAGCATTTTAAGTGGCTGTGAGTCGCATCATTTGCCACGTGCATGCGTTGACGCTGTGCCGGTTTGGCTGAACTCATATCTGAAGCCAAACCCTAAAAGTCAGACAAGCCAGCTCAACGGGTTTCCTTGTCGACCTGACAAACCAGCAAGTTTTCCAGGGGAAAAAACAAAACAAAAAGAAAAGACGCAAAAGATTTCCATATCTTGCCCTTTGTAAACGAAGATGGCGCGAAGGCGTTCTATTTGGATGTGTTGATACATGGATAGTAAATGGAGGAACTACCTACTGAGGGTCCATTGCGAATTTGGGGAGTTTAGACGAGATAGGCATGGTGGACGATTATGCTTATATCTATTTTGGTCGGGGAGTTCAGATGCAACGATAAGTAAGATTGAGGGGAACTCACCGCTTTTCCTCCCCCTCGGTTTTCCAATCGGCAGACAGCTTCCATCCCCTCCAAGATAACGGCGCAGCATCGAATGGAAAAACACGCGCGTGATGCTGAGTCGAGTAGGCAGGTAGTTGTTGATACGGAGGTAACACCCCACAACGCAACGGCGATTCATGTCGTCTTCCTCAGGCGTCAGACTAGGACTCAGGCGAGATAAGTACGGTAATTAACTGGCTTAGTTGTCACACCACGGGGATTCGTGAGACGAGCCACATAAAGGACGTTTATAGTCGACGATTGGACACAAGCCAAGGCCAAGCCAAGCCAGATACAGAAGCAGGCCGGCTCGCGTCTGCCGAGTGAGATCCGAATAGGGCATGGTATGACATGACCAGATAGGTAGCTCCCCCCCAAGCAAGCAAGGCTCCTAGCTACCCTTGCTCCGTACTCTGTTGCCTGCCCTCCGCATATGCAATGCATGCGTATGCGTGCATGACCTCACCTCACCCTCGTTTTCCACCGCGAGTTAACACGATAAGCGCCGAGCACGACGGTTACACTAGACTAATTTGAGCTGCGAGAATAAAGTCCGAAGCTGCCATGCTTTGCTCCGTCTCGGACTCAGACTCGGAGCGAGACACGGGCGTAAATTGACGAGACGGGGGGATGCTTTCTTTTTGTTCTTTTTTCCCGCACTACTACTACGTACTTGTATGAACTATTTAAGTTTGTCGACCAACGCTTGGCGATAGTTAAAGTTGGAGCCTCAAGCGGCTAGATTCCGATCCTTTTCATTTACCTCCCTCTTTTCCCGATTTCGCCAGCATGACGCCATGGCTCGACTGAATCTACTACGCAGACAGACTACTTGGTAGCGTAGAAGCAGAGATTGGAACTGATCTAGCATGGGGGTGTGGCCAACCTCTGGAGTGCAGATCATGAACGGGTCAGGCGGTGAGGTGCATAACACAGTGGGCCACGCAATTGTGGCCGTCCGCCAACGCCGTTATTTTACTAATGACTTGCTTGCCTCCCCCCCCCAAACCAACCCCCAACCTCTCCACGAAACCCCGCAGTAATTTAATTTACGCGGGACCAAAAGCGTCATTCCTCTCCCTCCTCTTCACATACCAACTTTCCAACCACGAAAGGAGGAAAAGAAAAGGGAATCTCGACAGACAAGAAGCTCCAGTCACTTTTCGACATCATGCCTCAGTCAAAAAGAAAAGACCCAAACGCGTTTCCGACAAAGCAATTGGCGGTCCTTGGTACTGCCACCCTCCTCCTCCGTCTCCTTCATCCCGTCCATCTATCTATCCCCCCCTCTCGCTCGAGAGAAGAAGAAGAAGAAGACGACATGACAGAACAGACAAAACACTGCCTTTTCTTCACACTAAATGATATCCAGTCCAATACAGCTAACGCTTCTCGACAGCAATATGTCGATTCTCAGAGCCCATCGCCTTCAACTCCATTCTGGCCTACACGTACCCCATGGTCCAGCATATCGGCGTCGATGAGAAAGACGCTGCCTTCGCCGCCGGTCTCTTGATCTCCGCTTACGCCGTAGCCGAGGCCATCACGTCTATAGGCTGGGGTGCCTTGTCCGACCGTATCGGCCGCAAACCCGTCGTTCTGTTTGGCCTGGTCGGCGTCTGTATCTCGAGTCTGATTTTCGGCATGGCACAGACCTACTGGGTTGCCCTTCTCGCCCGCTTCGTCGGCGGTGCTCTCAACGGCAATGTCTCGGTCATGCAGACCATGGTCGCCGAGATGGTCAAGAACCCCGATCATGAGCGTGAGTTGTTCACTTCTCCCCTCCCATCCTGCCCCGCGCGCCGACGCATGCGCGCGTTGCTGGCCCTGCGTCCGTCCGTGTGGGGGAAACGACAGCTTGCTAACATGGCATTTTCGTTGGGGCGTTGTAGCCAAGGCTTACGCTGTGCAACCGTTCGTGTGGACTTTGGGCGGCATCCTTGGCTCTGCCATGGGAGGATTCCTCGCCCAGCCAGCCGAACAATACCCGACTGTCTTCTCCCAGGACGGCATTTTTGGTCGCTATCCGTATCTGCTTCCCAACCTCGTGTCCGTCGTCGCAATCCTCATGGCCGTCATCCAAGGCATTTTCTTCCTCGAAGAGACCAAGGAGGACTGGAACGAAGACGACCGCGAGTACCATCACGGCCGCAACAGCGTCGCCGTTGATGACGATGACGTCACCGACGAGACCACACCCCTGCGCCGCGCCCCCATCCGCTCCTTCAACCCGCGCCGCTCCATATCCACTAGCCACTCGAGGCCGCGTTTCGCCGAGTCCAGCTTGCCTCTGCCCTTTGAGCACGATTTTGACCTGAGGCGCTCGTCTTTTGGAACCGTCCACTCCATCAGGGTTGTGCCCGAGGACTTGCGACAGCACTTGCTCAATTCCCGTGCCCACGCGACGGGCCAGAAGAAGGTCAAGACCTTCAACAAGACCGTTGTCATGCTCATCATCGCCCTGATCATCTTCTCCTACCATCAGATGGCCGCCGCCACCCTCTTGCCGACCTTTCTCCAGGACGACCGTCAACAGCCCCGGGGACACCTCGACCTGAAGGGCGGCTTGGGCAACCAGCTTCACGACGTCGGCATCTACCTGGCCATCAACGGTTTTATAGGCCTTTTCATCCAGGGCCTGATTTTCCCCATCTTTGTCGAGCGCGTCGGTGTCTGGGGCTCCTTCATCGCCATGGTCGTCGTATATCCCACGGCGTACCTCTTCGTGCCCTTCCTGTCGGCCCTTCCCGAAGCACTGACCGAGGCCGGCATCTGGTTTTCCCTCATCCTGCAGAGCTTCTACGGCGTCATCGTCGGCCCCGTCACGCTCATCCTCATCAAGAACGCGACCCCGACCTCGCAAGCGCTCGGAAAGGTCAACGGCCTGGCAATGTCTGGTGCCTGTCTCGCTCGAACCGTCTCGCCGCCGCTCGTCGGTGTAATATACAGTTTCTTAGGCTCTGGCGCAGCCTGGTTCAGCTGCGCTCTGTTCGCCGTCGTGGGACTCGTGCAGGTCTTCTGGGTGCCCAAGAAACACATTGACGTGGACCACGTCGAGATCGACAATGCCATCTCCAGACGCTTCTCTGTCACTTCGCAGAGGCGCGAGAGCCACCAGAGCATCGAGTCATCCCGTGGCCGACGCTCCAACGGTATTGTTTAGGTGTCTTCAACTGCATTGCAACGGCGGAACCCCTGTGTAAGCACCAATGTCTTGATGATTTTCCCAGTACCCCCTCCTTCCATGTTTGTTCCCATTGGTTATGTCTCACCTGCATTAATTGGCATTTCTTACGCGAAGCCTTGCGCAGACTATTGGTGTATTTTGCCCACGTCTTGGAGTTGATTGTACGCTGCCTACGGAGTTGATCTTTTTTTTTTCTTTCTTTTTTTTCCCCTTCAGAATGGAATGCGGGCGTTTCGCACAGATTTATATACGACCTTTTCAAGATTTTACGGATGACTGTCGCAGGAGTTAGCTACTTCAACGCATACGAATTGACTTATTATAACCAACGATATTCTCAACGCGTTTGGAACCAGTGACACCTTGTTGGATGCCGGCGGTGGGCCGTATAATGGGCTGTCACCCCTAGCACAAAGGATTATCTCCGGTCTCGCTACAGTCGCTTCTTCCTTTGAGCCAAATTTTGCTCAATCCAGAACTAACGACCAAGACGTGGATCCATTGCTTAGCCCGGTAAGTGATCCCACTAGTTCGCGCGGCATGAGTGAAACTAGCTAGCTCACACTAGGAAGCCGGATGAGCTAGCCCCCCGGATTCGCGCATGAGTAGTGCCCAGCCACTTGAAACTTCTCTCTTCTTTGTGTGTCACTGCATGTTGCGGAGATGACAATAGGTTTGTATGCCTGTATTACATTAATGATATGGTATGCCGAGTGCAATGTACGGGAGACAGAGAAGGAGCAGTGCATGGGTATCGACTTTGACAACAGATTACATTAGCATGTCACATCCAAGATGCGAGCTGACTCACTGGGAGGCTGTCCACGGTTTATCTCCAAGGAACCCCCCCCCCCCCCCCCCTTTTCTCAACACATCATGCCCGGCACATCCGCCCGTTGTAGTCAACGGTCCATGCATCGCTGCCGACGGCGGCAACGTTGTACAGCAGCCCGTTGGGGTCGTACTTGTTCTTGATCTTCAAAAGCTCGGGGTAGTTGACGCCGAAGAAGGTCTCCTGCCAGTCCTTCTGTTGGAAGTCGGCCTCGTTGATGTACGCGCCGGCGCCGGGGGTCGCGGCCTCGATGACGGGCTGCACGACCTCGGTCATGCGGCTCTGCTCGGCCACCATGTCGGCGAAGGGGACCTCGAAGCTCCATGGCAGCGTCAGCGAGACCTGCACGATGGAGTCGCGCCACTGCGGCAGCACGGCGTTGACGCCGTCGCCGCCGAAGCGCGAGACGTTGAGGCCGACGCCGATGTAGGTGACGCCGAGCTCGACGAGCTGCTGCGCGGTCGGGCCGAAGGCGGGGAGGACGGAGCGCGGCAGGAGGCGGCCGCCGAAGAGCTGCGTGCCGACCTGGATGTTGCCCGAGGGCAGGGGGCCCCAGTAGTGGTTGTAGTGGTCGCGGTAGGTGTCGAACGAGGTGTAGTCGGGCTGGAAGGTGACGTTGAGCAGGGCGAGGGAGTCGGCGAGGGGCGCGAGGATCTGCTCGACCTCGGCCTGGGTCTTGTCGTAGGCCGTCAGGGCCGGTGACTGGAGGAAGCCCGGGCCGAAGAAGTAGATGACCATGACGCCCGAGTCGACGATGGCCGGGAGGGCGGCGTGGAAGGCGTCGATCACGCGGTACAGGGTCGCGTTGTCGGCGACGGTGACGGCGAACTTTGCGCCGCTGACGGGGGCGTCGGGGTGCGCCCTCGCGGTGATGGAGGTGACGACGCCGTAGTTGCCGCCGCCGCCGCCGCTCAGGGCCCAGTAGAGGTCCCGGTTCTCCGTCCGCGAGGCCGTGACGATCTCGCCGGTCGGGGTGACGACCTCGAAGGACAGGGTGTTGTCGGCCGCCAGGCCGTAGACGGTGCTCAGCGCCGAGTGGCCGCCCGACTGGACGTACCCCCCGGCGAAGCCGACGGTGGGGCACTCGCCCGTGACGACCGCCAGCCCGGCCTCGTTGGCCGCGGCGATGGCCTCGAACCCCTGGACGCCGGCGCCGGCCTTGAGGGCCTTGCCGGCGTAGTGGCCGTCGTCCCAGTCGAGGATCTCGGTGCCCTTGAGGTAGTGGGTCCAGACAGCAAGCCCGCCGGCGCCCGTCGACCTGCCGTTGTAGTCGTGGCCGGTGTTGCGGATGACGAGGCGCACATTGTTCTGGTTGGCGAACGCGAGCGTGGCTTGGACGTCGGCCGGCCCGGTGGCGTTCACGGCGTAGCTCACGTAGTTGCCCAACGTGCAGGGGACGTCTTTGGGCGTGAACGGATCGCAGCTCGCGTTGGCGAACAGCGGGGCCATGACGGAGGACGAGGAGTCCATGCTGCGCGGGTCAGGTTAGCCACGATATCAATCTCTCTTGTGGGGTGCCAATGGAGGGAGGGGGGGGGGTGGTGGCACACAACACGCAAACCAAGAGACATGGCCACGACAAGGCGGTGCCTCATAGCGTCGCTCATGTCCACGCGATAATACGAAAAACAAAACAAAAAACACGGTACGACATGAAGCAAACGCGCAGGCCTCAACAAAAAGACGGCAAGGAGAAAACTGATCGGCGGGAGGAGAGGGGATAGGGGATTAGGAAAACGTACTGGACTTCGGAGTAGAGCCATGCGTCCTGAAGACGGGCGCACTCTGTCGCATTGTAAGCTGCTCCGTGACACGGGCTCCCCAGAGGGACGGTCGCGACCAGACGTCCTCCGACGGTCTCATTGAGCCGCGCCCACGCATCGGCAGAGGGCCATCCCGCGTCCCCCGGGAGGTACTTGCACTCGCCCGTCGAGCTCCTGATCGTCGTCGTCATCGTAGTGGATCTCCCCCGAGCTGAGGCCACGGACGCGCAAACGCTCCCGCTGGCCAAGAGCAAGGCAGCGAGGCTCGAGGGTCGTCGCATCTTGAACGTTTCCTTTTTCTCGGTGACCGGGGGTGAGACGGGGAGAGGGATTGGAGGAAAAAAGCAAGCAAGGGGGGGGGAACGTGCTTCTAGCTTTTCCGTTCAGCTGGGTCGCGACGATCTGGAACGTTGTGACGGACAAGCAGGGAAAACTCTAAAAAAACACGAGGAAACGATGGAGGAACAGAAAGGCGGCTTCACGCAATCTCTTTTTTTTTTCACGAGGGAACGCTGGTAGTTGTAGTACGCGACGCTGCCCGACGTGGCCCCTCTTCTCTCTATTCCCTCAATTGGCCTTCGCGATTGGATCCTCCCCTCGAATGCCGGCATGAATGTGGCGACGTAAGCATGACAAGAGGGGGACCGCCTTTGCATCCGTACCTCCCAGTAAGCATGGCAGCTGGGAGGCCAGAGGAGGACGGGACCCGAGTGATGGGGAGAGGAGGAAAGCCGACATTCTCCCACTTTGGGTTACATAGTACGCACTTCTGCGCGCTTTTGCACCGTTCAGGACATGATCTCCGCTCGGCGCGGGGAGCGGTAAGCTCAGCAACCCCGTACGCCCGTGCCGCGGTGCCGGTTCACCCTGGCCAGGTCGCGGTCTTTTTTACGGATCAGGAGCAAAGGGCCGACGGCTATCGACTACTAGGGGAGGGGTAGCCGAGGGATTAAACTCTGTTGAAAGGTACAAAAAGTATTGGCAACGTCTTCCCAGCCCCCCCCCTTGCTTGCAGAAAAAAAAAGAAAAAAAAAGAAAAGAAAAAAGAAAGACAAACGCCACGGCTCGACGAATGAGAAAGATGTGGACTTTGGTGTTCCCCCCCCCCTCGTTCTGTGGCGCCCGTTGTAACCCTGAACCAACAGTCCCAAGACCGTAAGTCGTTCGTCTTTGGCGATGGGGACCGCCCGGGGGCTGGGCTAAGCGGCAAGGGTACGGGCCGGGGTGGTTCCACAAAATCGGCGCCTTATCCGGACCTCCGATTTGCTCCACCCGGCTGGCCGCAACCCAGCCCGATGCTGGTGCTTGACTCGTGGACCCCTGGAGAGGTGGGGGGGGCTTTGATATCCCCGGACGAACCTTGGGCAAGGGATCAAACTGGGAGGGGGCCCTACAAGGCCAGACACCCCCCGTCCGTCTGAATTATTGAGGCCTCGAGGGGATCCCTGGCTGATTGCTTATTTCGCTATGCTCTCTCTCTCTCTCTCTCTCTCTCTCTCTCTCTCTCTCTCTCTCTCTCTCTCTCTCTCTCTGCAATGAGAGTGTAGGATCCGGAGGTGGTGTCCGTCGATGCGCCTGGGACAGGGCACTTCAACGTTCAAAATCAAGACGGAATGTCTCATCGATGGTTGATTGATCGATTTACGAATGCGACGTATCAATTTCCTGGGGAGTCCCCTCCCCGGTTTTGACGCCGCCAAATAAGCTAATGGACAAGAAAGCAATGCATCCCATCACTCCGTCTCTCTGTTTTATTTCGTCTTGGATACGGCGTGCCCAAGGCTCACGGACCACGATCGTCTTCAAGAAGGGGGTCGGGCCACCGCCGCCGCAAGGCCGGGTTGACTGCATTCTGTCTCATGCGTGTCATAAATGTCTAATCTTATACCTCCCTCTACCTCTCTCTCTCTCTCTCTCTAAGTGTGTGTGTGTATGTGTGTGGGCTGCTGGGAGGAGAGTATATGTCTTGTTTCGGCAACTTGGGGTGCAGATCACTTGTCGTATGTGCGCGGCAGTCCGTGTGGTCAAGTCCCTCGAGCACGGCCTGCCATCCAGCCGCGGGTTCGTTTCCGATCCCTCTCTCACATCCCCTTTCCCACCAAGTTGAGAAAATGGAACACTGTTGATAGCAAAAACAGCACGATTCCATGTAACAGGAAATACAAGAATAAGAACAAGGAGAATAACAATGATAATAATTACAATAGCAATAACAACAATGAAACCTTGCCAGCGGATTGTGAGGGGAACCCGGCGCGCCGAGTTCTTCAGCAAGCCGCATCACACCCGCAGAGCGCAATCTCGACGACGCCTCCTTCGTGCAGTGGCGTTCGAGCAGGCAATGCAGGCAAGGGCCTGCCGCACCAACCCGCAGGGGTCGCAGACGGCTCTTGATACGCGGGCAGCAGAACGCTCGTTGGATTTGCTTGTTTCTCTCTGCCCTCCCCCCCTTCCCCCCGTCAGGCAGGGTTATGGCATTAACCGAAGTGCGTGTGGCCCTCTCTCTCTCCTCCCTCCCGTCTACCCGCTGTTCTCGAACGTCTTGACTTGTGGTGAAGGTCCTTGTTTATAGATGGCCCCTTCTCCCAGTATCCCGCCGATCCGTCGAGACATCGCGCATAGAAAACGGAAGAAAAAAAAGAAAAAAAAGGACGAGCGGGGCATCGAATCTCCCATCACGGGCATCATGGCGGCCTGGACGTACAACACGTCAGCAGACACGCCGACCAGCGGGCCGCAGATTGCCGCGCTCTGCGTCATCTTCACCTCCATTGCGCTGTTGCTCGTCTGCCTCAGATTGTATGTCCGGACGACGCTGGTCAAGGCCGTTGGATATGGTACGTTGTTGGAAGCATCGAGGGGGGGCTAGTCCTGCCGCACAGAGGCCAACGCTGACGAAGATATGATATGTCCCAGATGACTGGATGATTGTCATTTCCTGGGTAGGTTCGACACGAAAATCACCGTCTTGATGGTCTCTGATACTGACTTTTCCCTCCTCACCCAGCTGGGAGCCTGTGGTTATGCGATATGCACCGTGATCCGTAAGACATCTGCGACGGAACCCTCTACTCTCCGTTCTCCCCCCCTAACCAGAAACACAGAGACGAAATGGGGTCTTGGAATCACCAGCCTGAAAAACATGCCCGACCAGAATGTCTTGTCCTTTGGCAAGGTGAGAGAACCTTTCCGCCTCTGCTTGCGAGTCGTGCTGACGGTGTTTTCCTTAAAAAAAAAAGTTGCAATTCATAGGCGCACCATTGTAAGTCTGGATCGCGGCACCAGAATTACGAGTCTCCCAAGCTCGGGTTCGGCTAACAATGGCCGCCCTTCTTTTCCAGCTACGTCGTCGGCCTCTGGGGCTTCAAAATGAGCCTGCTGTGCTCCTACCTGCGCTTCTTCCCAGAAGGCCGCTACAAGATCGGCACCATCATCGTCGCGGTGACGTGCACGATGGCACACATTGCATTCCTCCTCGTCTTCGTGTTCCTGTGCACACCGGTAAGGGAGAAGAAACATTATCCCGGGAAGCGATGGGGAAAAGTGTCTTCTGGCTGACTCCCCCCAACAACCAGTTTGAGAAGCAGTACGACCCGTCGATCCCCGCCGACGTGGGACACTGCGCAGATGGCGTGGCCTTCTACTTGACGTTCTCGTCCTTGACCATCGTCTTTGACGTCTTGATGTAAGACCCCTACTCTTCTCCTTTCCAAAAAAAAAGACTCCCAACTTTGATAGAAAAACTGACAAACGGCGGCTCCCGCCTCCGCCTCAACAGCATGTTCCTGCCGTTCCCCGTCATCATCAAGTCCCAGATCCAGCGGCGCAAGAAGGCGGTGCTCCTCGGCCTCTTCATCCTCGGCGTCTTCGTCACCGTCATCCAGGCGATCCGGATCCAGACCATCACGAGCCTCTCCAACTACCTGGACTCGGCGCGGTCCATCCAGTGGTCCGTCATAGAGACGTGCGTGGGCATCGTCATCGCGTGCGTGCCGCCGCTGGCGCCCATGGTCAAGTACTTCGCCGCCAAGAGCCGCAGCGCGAGCGGCGGCAGCAGCGGCGTCTTTCGGCCGCCCAAGACGCCGTCGTCGCGGTACGTGCTGCAGACCTGGGGCACCAGGCGCAGCAGCATGCACCCGCTGGGTGCCGGCGTCGATCGGGACTCGTCCACCGCCGCGAGCTCGGCGACGAAGGCCGACGACAGCACCGAGAACATACTGGGCCAGGGGGCCATCACGAAGAAGACGCACCTGCTACTCACAACGCACGACGCCGAAGACACTTGGTCCGATACCAATAACAGCAGATAGAGTGTTTGAGAGGGGGGAAGGGAGCGGAACTGCGGAAGGGGAAAAAAAAAAGGGTAGTGGGCTGATACTGTGATACCAATTTCCATTCTTCAAAATTGCGGAAGCGAGCGTGTTCGTTCTGGTACGACCTTTTTTTCCTTTTTCTTTTCTTTTGGATATTATTGGCCTATCCATTGGTAGCCATATCCTGACGATTTAATGGCATTCCCATCGTACAACCTCTCCTGGTTGACTGTGACTCGGATTCCTTTATGAAACGTCGGCTGCCCTCTTCCGTCGTGGCTATCCAGTTCCCAGTCGTTAGAAGAGAGTGTGTGCTATGTATGTAACAGTATTATGTAGTATAAAACCTGCCGACATCCCTGAACCCCCCCCCCCTCCCTCTGATTGAAACTTCACCGCCCCTGCTCCCTCACACAGCCTTTCTCTGTGGCCACAGGGCTTTCAACTGCTCTGAAGCCTGCTTTTCGACCGAGCTTCTCGTGCCATCGGTAGATTTGATGTGCTCGGCACCACGTATTCGTCACCAACGGACCGCGGCGGAACGTAGAAGCTGGCCCTTGAGGTCTCCCATGACGAAGTTCCGCAACCACTAAGGGATTGTTTGATGAAATGCCACATATAGGCCATGATGAACACGTGTCGTAGGGAGGCATCGCTCATAATTTCCAGAAGCCAATGTTGCCCTTGACCAGCCTTTCCCAGTTGCACATCGCGCTTCAGCCTTTACAACGCCCGTTCGGGCATGTCCCAAACGCAATAAACTCATCGGTTTGACACCAGAGCTTCGTAGACCCACTATAAATCCGTCAAGCGCTCGAAGAGGTACTCCGCACCGCGCCGTCACCCAGACCGTCCCCGAGGTTGTTCGGCCTGTCGGGTCTGACGACCACAAAGCCTACTTCCGGGCGCGGCCGTGAGCGAGAGACCCGGAAACCTTGCTCGGAGGCGCCCGCCTGCCCAGTGACCTTGGCCCAAAGTCCGGACGAGGAGCGGAAGGACGGGCGAGGAGCAGGCGGCCGGGGCAGCTCTTCCGAAGCCCTCCCCCCAGGCGGCGCACGGGGGGCGCCGTAATAAAGATCTGCCTCCCGGAAGGAATAGTCGTTCCATCGCGGGCCGAGCGGCCCGCTGTCTACATCGGTAGGCGAGGCTTGCGACGTTGTGCTGACCTCCTCCCAGATTGACTCGGACAAGGGGGTCGGACTCACGATCGGTGGAGAGTGTCGTATAGAATGCATATCTGTGATGGAATTGGAGGTCGAAACCGTCCTGGAGGAACTGTACAGGGAAGAGCCGAGGCTGCGTGGATGGTCCGCAGATGAGAGGGATGCGCTCGACCGTGGTAATCGAAAGTAGCGACTTGAAGCGGTCGAATGGCTCAGGCGCATAGTGCTGGGGCTGCCTGGCCTATATGTCGGCCGCAAGGAGACTGCGTTGGGCTCTTCAACATCATGCGGTTCTGGATATGATGTGTCGAGCTCGTTGGCAGTAGTATACATGGAGGCCAGATTTGATGGCGACATATCACGCCGACGTAGCTCACGAAGCCCGTAAACCTACAATAGTGCAAGTGTTAGACGGGAAGATGACGGCAGAAAATGAGACCTACATCGGGCTTTGGCGCTGTCCACCAGGTTTTGACGATGTTGGCAAGATCACAAGCTGCGGGGACGAGAAACCCAAGCACAAGCATACCGGCATGAATACTTAGGAGCAAGTACCCGATGGCACTCTTGATACCGGTGGTGGCAATTCCAGGCAGAAAAGCGACCAGAAACACCAAGCTGCAGAGCCTGATGGTAGCTGCGATGCTTCCGACCGAAAATGTCGAGTACGCCTGGAACCCGGCAATGCTAGCAAGCAAAACCAGCTCGCAAGCCCCAAGAACAGCCAGTTGCGCCACGCCGGAAATCTGCAACCCGCCAACGACAGCGCCCCGAACGAAAGTGAGAGTAAAAATGATAAAAATGAACCTCTCGTCATGCCGCTGGAAGTCTTCGGAAGGAGGCAGCTGTCTGTATCGTTTGGTGCTGTCGAAGAGGAGAGCGCCTAGGTTGCGTGTTGGGATTTGCCGAACGAGCCAGACAAAGGCAGCCATGATAGCGACGATGAGCGTGGCGGCCAGACTTGTGTGATAAACAGGCAGCCACGAGGCTTGATCGAGCTGGTAAAAGGATAAAGCCACCAGAGGAAACATGAAGTACGACAGTACGACACGCAAGGTACGGTTGCAGGCCTGCCGCATCCCATGGCTCGATTGAGACGGCCTGTTGTCTGAGCTGCGGTTCCTGCTCACAAGCCAGGAGACCCTGAGAACCAAGGCAATGCTAGCTGCAACGGTGAACACAAGAATGACCATGTTGAGCCAGGTGTCCATCGACATGGGGGCGCCAGCAATCTGGGTCATCAACTCCAAACCATAGGTGCCGCCATAGGTGCCGTTCAGCACGTAGATCCCATCTTCCACACCTTTGTACACTTGCCCATGGGTGATTGGGCCGTTGACAACAAGAGACCACCAGTTGAGATGACTGACAACGGGTTGATAGAAACCGGGGTACCGCAGGTTGAGCCCACCAGTCAAAAAAATGAACTGAAAGTACTGAAGACAGTCCCCGACATTCGGGAGGACTGACCGAACTGGGCGCAGTTCATCATTATCGAAATTGATCGGGGTACTGGAGACGGAGCGTGCGATGCCGACGAGGAGCACGAAGATGAAGAGAGCCCACGCCGAGTAAGTGATGGCGGAGGAGATGGCTGGACTGAGAGCCGGTGTGATGTTGGCCTGTTGGCAGGTGATCTCTTCTGAATCATTCCCCTCCAGATGGAAAGTGATGTGAAAGGTCGACAACGGGGGCAAAGGGCCAATATCGTTGGCAATGGATACGTAGAGACTGACGGGATGTGCCAGGGGCGAGGCCCGATTCTTGGAAAAGTCTAGTTTCTCGCACGTCGCATTTGTTGTGGTGCGGTATGCTGAAGACCGCCCGAGCATTTTGACTTGGATTGTCGCGGCGGGCACCATAGCAGAAAGCTTTTGGCATTCGGCCGCTTCTATCCACCGCCCAGCCCGCAGGGTAAGAAGATTCTCGCGGCCGTCGTTCGACGGCACCAAAGTGGCGGACACGCTCCCTGGGACGAAGACATCGAGATGGGTTGCCGGGCCGTCGCAGTGCTGCCATTGCACGTAGGCTCCCGAGACAGAGGTGGCTGCGAGCCATACCCATGCAAGGCGTGCAAACATTCCTCGTCTCCGTCAAGGCCGCGTCGTCTCGCTTCGGATGAATAAAAGGTTGAGTCGTCTGGTGCTGAGTAGGCGGGGGGTCATTGATCGCCCTTCTGCTGTGGTTCGAAAGATGACGGAGGAGAGAAAGATGGAGCCGCCCCGGCAGACGTAGGCGACCGAAGAGGATAATGGAATGGCTCAATTCCTTCTTTCCACCTTCCGCGGTAGATCCTTGACGTTGCACTGCCGTGACTAAACCAGCCATTAGCCTGCTCGTATCATATAAAAAGGGGGTTTCCACTCGATAGCGAGGATCACTAGCTCAAAAACACACAGCATCCCCTTTTTGCGGGGCGGATCGAAGCGACCTATCCCTGAGCGGTACGAACAAGGAGCGCAGCAACTACATAACAAACCGTCTACCTCGTTGTAGGTTATGGCATGGAAGAAAACATAGTAAAGGGGCCGCGGTGGATGTGTCGAACAACGAGGTAATAAGTGCTATAGTGGGCCGGGACAAAGGTTGACGATGGCAGCCACATGATCTTGGCAACCACTCCCGGCACTTACGGCAACGATGGACGAGGCAACAAGTTGAAAATCTTCGGAAGCACGCGCCACAGGCCGGTTGAACTCTTGACAGGCCGCGTGCTAATCCAACTTTTTGGTAGAAAGATGGCAGCGCCTTCTCAGAGACAAAGCCGGTCGAGAATACGGTTGATGGCGGAAGCCATTTTCAAATGGCGCTTGTAAGCCACGGCATTGCCATGCGGTTTTAACGTGTGATGGATGCCGATGCCGCAAAGGGAGACGACACGCCGTTTCGCCAAAAAAAAAAAAAAAAAAAAAAACAGAAAAGAAAAAGAAGGAAAAGAAAGAAAGAAAAAAGCGGAGTTGAAGCAGGCGCAGCACCTAGACAGCTATCAGGGTAGTTGCAGTCAGTTTGCCTTGACTCTCACCACATCGTGTACCAGCAATGCAATGCAGGAGACATAATTCGTAAGGCTGGTTACTTGAGCCGGCGTTGCAGGCCTGCCTGCCGTCAACGCATCGATGTGCAAGCAGTTTGGCAGATGGCTCGAAACGACAAAGGAGGAAGACCTGTCTATAATTCCCCTGACACGGATAGGAAGAGTGGGCCGAGCCGACATCCGCGGTGGAGGAAAAATGGACCCGAGTCTATTGAGATGCAAGGTGGCATGGCCCTTGTTTCGTCCTTCGGCACTCGGTGCATCGGAACTGGCCAGATACATGTCAGGACATATATGTGTCGTTCGAAGGCGATACGGCTTTGAGAATAGCGAATATTTGGGGCCATGACGCGTATATTTACAGTCTGTACGCCGCCTCGCCGAATACAAGCGGTAAATCTTTGAGCCAACAGCGGAAGGCATCCAGACCAAAATTTGTATGGAGTAGATGTGCCCCACCGCCGCCGTACCGCCAGTCTCAGGGGTGAGTCCAGAGGTCGGACGGGACCGGGAACTTCGGCCACTGGGTGGTTTGCCAACTTATCGACACGTAAAGTTGACAAATGGGGAGAAATCAATAAAGACGGCAAGGGCAAACAATAGTGCGATGCGAGGTGGTAAAGGGCCTGACCCCGAGTCGCGGTACCGGTCGAGGCCAGCTCGTGCTAGCAGACGGGACGAGTCTTGTTCGCTAGAAAAGAAAGCAGATGCGCTGAAAGGCTAGTTCGACATGCGACGAAGGGCGGGACGAGAGTCGGCGAGGTGCGTTGTTTGTTTACCCCTGCGCAAAAGGCGTCAGGGAGCAATTGAAAGTGCGGCAAAGAGTGAGCACAGGGCGCGGTAGGGGCGAGCGGGCGGGCCGCAGCGTCGTACGAGCGGCGCGCATCACCATGTCGCAGCGATATGGATCAAAGTGAGTCCAATGTTTGGGATTCATCAGCGCCTGGGCCATGTGTGTTTGTACGTCTTTTGGTTTGTTTGTGTGTGTGGTTGATGGAACACGGCGTGTTGAGAAGCGGCGGGTGAAGATGTCGAGCTCAGCTGGGCTTGAAGGCAGGCAAAACAAACAAAAACAGATCAACAAGTGTCGGCGGTGGTTGCTGTTTGACCGAATCGAAAGGCAAACAGAGATATGACGATGGGGGAAGGAGGGGGGGGGGGGGGGGGGGGGGGGGGGGGGGCAACGCCGAAGAGGAGCAAGAGCGATAAAAAAAGAATAAGGATAAAAATAAGAATAAAAATAAGAATAAGAAACAAGTCGAGTCAGCCTTGTCATGATTCAGGAAGGAACGATGGATGCGAGGGAACTAACTGCAGGTGAGGCCGAAATGGGATATGCATGGCCAGTAACACAGCATGGATGGCTCTTGCCTTGAAGGAAGGGTTCGAACCACCCACGTGGGACGGAAGGGCCAACGGGGAGGTGTGCCACGGCCTCTGGATGGAAAGACCGGACGGTGATTACCTTCCATTGGGACGGACTTCGGCCGTGTCCACGTCAAACAGAAGTTGCTCACCTGCCTGCGGCTGCAGCCTCCAATAGTCGGTCTCATGGTGATCGATCGGGCTCGGTGTCATTCGTTCCGACAGCCGCCCTTGCAGGACACAGCTGCAATTGCGGCAGGCACAACGTGCATGCTCCTCCCTCGACCAAGGTGCGAAAGGCGCTTGGCCGCATCGGGCTAAGCGAGCAAGCCACCCAATCTCTTCCTCTTCCCCAAGCTTCCTTCCCTGTTCGGACCTGCATCATCAGCCCGAGCTCTTCCTTCCCTTTCATCCATAGCTCGGAGTTTGCTCCACCGCTACGCGCCTGTGTGTCATGTTACAACCCAACCCAACGACGTTTACTTGCTTCTTCTCCATGTCTGTCTTCAACCCGGATGTACCTTCGAAGATATCCCATTGCCGATAGTGGAAGAAGCACGCCGACCAACACCAAACATCTCCCCCGCCCAGTCTACTCGTGACCACTAGTCACCCGCGTGTCGGACGTATTGCTAGACAGACACGATCGAGTCGAATCAACCACAATTCAAACCTCCCTCCACGAGACTCCCATTGCACTTCTGCATTGGCGCCAGCAACACGTACGCACACATGCGAGAGCGCTCTAGTCGGCTGTGACAGCAGAGTAGTCCGCAACGCCAACGCTAACAGCACCACCAAACGAGCTTCTTTTTACCCGGCGGACGAGGCGCCATGTGGCTGCTATTGACTGCCCGATCTGATCTCATCGAACCCCACCTCGATTCGGGTCCCGTTTTGCCATGACCGCCGCGGATACAGACTGCGTTGCCATGTCTTTCACTGTTTGTCCATCTGCCGCCGTCCGAGCATCCCTGCCTTCTCGCATGGCCTCTCCCGCGAGTCTCGTCTTCTTTCGATGCGACGACGCTCTCCTCGTGGCTCTCGTGGCAGACATCGCCCTCGGTGGCTCATGGGTGTGAGCAGTCACCGCGCCTAGCCCCAGCTCGCTCCCTTGGATACTATCCGTGTCTCGATTATTGCTTCTTTTTCTCTCTCCAGTCTTCACGCACCATGTTCCCCGCTCGGTGCTTGCGCTTGCTCAATCTGCTGTTTGGACGCTCCTTCGAACCTCACCCCTCTTCAAGTTTCCTTGCTTGCCCAACTGTGCTTTTTTCGCTTGCCCTGAAATGTCTCTGGCGCCTTCAATATCTCGCCCTAATCAAACCAGGCCTGGGCGCGTCTGCACCATCCCTACCGAACTAGACCTCGCGACCCCCAATTCAGCCCGCTCGAGGCATGTGTGTGTGTGTGTGTGTGTGTGTGTGTGTGTGTGTGTGCCAACTGAACCATGTAGTAGAAGTCGGGAGCTCTGCGTCGCCGTCTTGCTTCCTTGCCCTCGTGGTCGATCTAATTACCGCACCGTGTCTTCTACCAGCAACGCCCTTGACAGCACGATACGATGGCGACCGTCTTATTCCGCGTCCGAGGCTGTTTGCCGCGCTCTGCTTTCGACTTGCGCGCCTGGCACTCGTTGCGTTTTGTTTATTACTGACCCTGTCCCCCGGACCTTCTTCATTATGCAACCAACAGGTGCTCCGCCATATCCGCTCTTTCAAGGCATCTTTGGGCCTTCACTTCCCGAAGCAGGCATTCACTTGTTTACTCCTCTTGCCTTTCGATAATCCGCCATGAGATTGTCTCTTGTAGCACTGGCTTCACTGCCAGTGCTTGTTGCCTCGTTAGCCTCGACCGATTCTTACCGTGACGCTGTAAGTTCTATAATCCTCAGTTTTTTACCGCCTCGCATCTCGGCACTGGCCGAGACCTTGGTGTGCCAGTTCCCTGAACGCCTGTTAACTATTGAATCCTTTCTCATAATAGGATCTGCCTCAATCAGGCTACCTTCCGAACCACAACTTGAACCCCAACGTCGCAGGCTCTTCGAGCTTCATGAACTTATGGACGTTTACATCCCCTGTTGCCAAAGAACAATGGCTGGCCAAGCCTCTTGTATATACGCCCAATGGCCAATCAGAGCTCGTCATCACTGCCTCCGAGATGAACATTGTCCGTGTTTTTGACAGCAAGACGGGCAGTGTGTTGACAACTAGGACGCTTCAGCCTCCTTTCAGTGCCGCCGACAGCAACTGCGGCGACATTCCCGACTGGATTGGTGTCACTGGCACTCCCATCATCGACCCCAACACCGACATCATGTACCTATTCTCCAAAGGCTACAAGGACGGGACCACTTCCGGCACCGCCAATGGAGTCTACAAGATGTACGCTATTCGCATTCCCAGCCTCGAAGACGTTGCCGGCTTTCCGGTTCTCATCGATGGTATGAATGCCGACAATGATCCCTCCCGCTATTTCGTCGGTGGCGTGGCCCTGCAGCGGCCGTCTTTGACCGAGCTCAACGGTCATATCGTTGCGGCGTTTGGATCACACTGCGGTCGTTGGAACTACACCGGCTACCTTCTCTCGGTCAGCAAGACCCCGGGCGTCGGTCCAGTAAGCATGTGGGCGACCGAAGCCGCGCCGGGCGCCCCGAAGCCTCAGCCGCTCGACTTGGCCAACGAAACGGGTGGTAAAGCAGGCATCTGGCAGAGCGGCATGGGATTGCCCACCATCGGCAACAACATCTTCTTCGTCAGCGGAAACGGCCAAGGACACGCCAATGGCAACGTGCCGGCGAGTGGCAGGCTTCCCATGTCGACGCTAGACGAGTGTATTGTGAGGATGGAGCTATCCGCCGCTGGCAAGCTCTCCGTGATCGACTATTTCCAACCCTACGACTACATCGGCCTCGATGCCGGCGATCGCGACGTTGGTTCCTCCGGATTGGCCGTTTTGGACCCCTCCGTCTTCAAGGGCGCCGGAGTCAACCGGATCGGTGTGACTGCGGGAAAGAAGGGCCGCACTTACGTGGTGAATGCCGACAACCTCGGCGGTTTTCGACAAGCGCCAGATGCCGGGGACGCCGTCCTGCAGACCATCGAGCTCGGGAATTCTCTCTATGGTGGATTTGGTAGCTACCCCGCCGAAGGTGGTTACATCTATGCATCCTCTATCGGTGGCAGTCTCGTTGCATACAAGCTTGGGTTCGACTCCAAGGGCGCGCCCCAGTTCAGTCTTGCAGGAAAGTCAGCGTGGGTCTCCGCCGGTCGAGTCGGTGTCGGCCAGATTACTGTCACGTCTGACAACGGAGGACTAGGTACCGGAATTGTAAGAATGACCTCCCTACCCTATGGGCGCGATGAGGCGGATTCACTAATAGTTACCAGGTTTGGGTCACCGATGTCAACACCGGTCTCATGGCTTTCCGAGCCGTTCCTCAGGATGGTGTCATGGTTCCTCTCACTCTCCCGTCGTCCCAGGGAACGAACAAGTATCAGCGTCCTGTCTTCGGAGACGGCCGCGTCTTCTTCCACGCCAACAACAACAAGCTCGTATGCTTTGGAGCTCCCGTCAACTCTGCCGTGAACTGCACCAGCCCGGTTGAGTTTGGCTCCCTCGAGATGGGATCTACCGCCAGCGCCAAAGTCAGCTGTAAGGCCAACGTTGCACTCACAAAAGTCAATGGCTGTTCTGTTTCGGATCCCTCGTGGACGTGTTCCAACTCGACTCTGCCACAGGGCGCTGTGGCCGCGGGCACGTCCTTTTCGCTGGATGTGACATGGGACCTCTCCAACCCAGCCGTCAAGGCTATTCCTGGTTTCCTCACCAGCTCGTTGACTCTGTCCATTAGCGCATCGGCAGATTACGCCTCAACCACTGTGGTGTCACTCCAAGGAACTGTTGTCAAACAAGGCCCCTTCCTCAGTGCGACCCCTTCCGATATCGCCTTTGGAAGGCTTGTGCTTCGAGACGCTCCTGATGGTTTGACTGGCACAGCTCTGTTGCAGAACGTGGGCAACGCTACTCTGACCTTTACCGGATTTGCTTGGCAAAACGATGCAGGCACTTACAACAATATCACTGCCGATGGCGGTTTGGGCTCCGGCTTTTCGTCGTCCAACTTCCCCGCTGCTGGCTCCTCCCTTGAATCCGGCCAAAGCTTGTCTGTCCCGCTTCGGTTCTTCCAGCAGGCTTCTGGGTCGTACACGACAAAGATAGCCATCTGGTCCAATGGTGGTACGGCTGTTCTCACGCTGAGCGGCTCCGTCAACGACCCGCCCGCCGTGACATTTGAGCTGGCAGACGGTCTTGGCAACTG